TCAAGCAAGTCACACAAATTCTCTGATTTTCCAGTACATATTAAAGTTATGTATGGGGAGGCTGGATAGGTAGTATAGTGGATAGGGCGGTCGTCTTGCACATGGCCACCCTGGATTCAATCTCTGGCATCCCATATGGTCCCTGAGCACCACCAGGAGTGATTCCTGAGTGCAGAGCCAGGAGTAAGCCCTGAGCTACATCCGTGTGGCCAAAAATTAAAAAAAATTAAAAAAGAAAGAAAAGGGAAGTTATGTATGGGGCCGGAGTGATAGTATAGCAGATAGGTTGCTTGCCTTGCATGCAGCTGACCCAGTTTTGCTCCTCGGCATCACATAGTTCTCCTAGAGCACCACCAGGAGTAATTCCTGAGTGCAGAGCCAGATGTAACCTCTGGACATTGTCAGGTTTGGTATAATCTCCCCTGCCAAAAAGGGAAAAAAAAATGTTTTGTATGGGCAGTGGCTATTGCATTTGGTTTGCACGTCACTGACCTGGGTTCAATCCCGGGCATCCCATATGGTACCCTGAGGACCACCAGGAATAATTCCTGAATGCAGAGTCAGGAGTAATTCATTAACATTGTCGGGTTTGGTACAACAGCCATCACCCACTCCCCTGGCCCCCTTAAAAAAAAGGTTGTGTATGGGCAGTGGGTATTGCATTTGCTTTTGTACATGGCCAACCCAGGTTCAATCCCTCGCATTACATATGGTTCCCTCAAACCCTGCCAGGAGTGATTCGTGAGCACAGAGCCAGGAGTAAACTCTAAGGCCCTGCAAATGTGGACCCCAAAACAAAGAAGTAACAAAACGTTACGTATGGGGCCTGGCTCCAATGACAAGTGCATGTTTGGGAGCATCCCGTCAATACTGAGCCAGGAGTTGCCCTTGAGTACCGTTGGATGTGTCTGCAGCACCACCTGCTCCCCCCCCCAAAAGACCATTTTATTTATTTTCTACTGCTGTCTACTAAATTTTCATTAGTATTATGTCTTCGGGCTGGAGCAATAGCACAGCGGTAAGGCATTTGCCTTGCATGTGGCTAGCTCGGCCGAGCCAGGTTAAATTTCTTGGCCCCTCTCAGAGAGCCCAGCAAGCTACCAAGAGTATCTTCGCCTGCACGGCAAAGCCTGGCAAGCTACTCATGACATATTCAATATGCTAAACACAGTAACAAATTGTCGCAATGGAGACTTTACTGGGCCCGCTCGAGCAAATCGATTATGTCTTAAGAAGAACTAACTATAGGGGCCGGAGAGATAGTACTATGGGGAAGGGACTTGGTTTGAATCATTGATGCTGCATATAATCCCCTGAACACCTTCAGGAGAGATCCTTGAGTACTTCTGGGTATGACACCAAAAAACGGGGAAAAAAATGAAAAACACTTCAGACCTCGAGCTGGGAGATGGCTCAAGGGTCTGAAGCATGCATTTTACTTGTGAGAGCTCAGATTTGATCCCAGCACTACATGGTCCCTGGCACTTCTGGGAATGACCATGCCCCAACTCCCCTTGTAAGAAATGCCTTCACTCCTGAATAGCACTGCCAGGCGTGGTTTTCCGCCCCCCACTCCCCTCCCCGCAGATTTTCAGAATTGAATGTGATAGACACACTATGAGTGTATGTGTCCATACATGGTTGTTGCAAAATGTCAATTTGTAGAAAAAACAATATTGGGGCTGGGTAGAGAGCTGGAAGGATTCAGGGCACGCCTTGCCTGTGCAAGGGCTTGTTTGGTCTTTGCACTACTTGGTCCCCTGAGACCACTCCTTGTGATTCTGGAGACCCAGCTTTGCTGGGCTTGGAGCCCCAGTACTGTGGCCTTGCATCGCATTGCCTGGCTCAGGCATGAAAATCTCCAGCCTCGCTGGCAGGTGTTTCTGGAAGCAGCATCCTGGCCCCCTGAGCATTTCTTCAGAGCTCCTCTCAAAAATGTAGCACTGAAATGCCATAAAGTGAAGGGCAGTAAAGTGAAATATGATTGTACAGACATGGATGGCTTGTTTGAACACTTGATGTTTAAGATTTCACGAGAACTGAGTTCTCAGATCCCTTACTCTGATCCCTATGGTGGCTGGAGCTGTAAACCATGTTTGCTTGAACCAGGTGTGTTTTGAGCGCTATAGCATCACTTACCACTGCTCTTTCCGTTTGTCAGCACCCTCATAATAGAGATAGCATTGCCAGATCCCCATTCTGTCTTCAGTCACTGCTGAGCTGCCTTAAATAGTCTGATGCTTGCATGGTCTTATTAAGAATCATGTTCAGCCTTAGATTTGTTTTTCTTTTTATCATAACCCATCATCAATTTGTGGTGTGTGGTGGCAGAGATTAATTCAGTTGTTTTGTTTTCTTACCTGTGTCTATGCCTCCTTATTTCTATCTAGTTTGCTAGTCTCTTTATTTCTGTTTGTAACACTTGTGACTAACAGTCACTTCTGTTGTGTAATTACCAGGAGTCAACAGCAGAAAGTAATTACTAATTCTTCTGGGCTGTGGGTCTCGGACTTTAGTGTATACCAGAATCACCAGAAACATGTTTTTCTGTGTTCCATTTGCAGAGTTTTAGAGTAGGTACGTCTAGCGTGGAACTGGTAACTTAACATCTCTAACAGTTTCGTAGATGCTGCTGCTGCTGCCTCTGGTACTGTGGGGAATCATATTCTGAGAAACAATATTTCTGGAGTGAACCAGATGCTGAGTGGGAGAGAGAGTGGTGTGAGAAGTGAGGTCCCCGGCTGTGGAAGCTGAAGGTAGATCAAGTGGATGACTCAGTAGGCTCCAGGGGAGTTTGGGAGAAGTCAGAGTTGGGCCGAGTCTCCAGTACCAGCATGTCCTGAGGTTTACAGAACTATTATGGCCATTAACAGGATCACTGAGGGGCACATTCCAGGCAAGACAACACTGGGATAAAGATGTGGAGGTAGAAATGACCCAAGAAAATTTAAGTGGGACGCAAGTAGCTTGTAACTTTGAATTGCTAGGTATTGTATGCTGGTAATGAGGATTAGGGTGGGAAAATAATTAGGCCCGATTGCATTGCGCTTGAGACACTAGAGTGGTGACTAACCATTTATAAGGCTTTATATACGACTTGAAGAGAGGTCGGAGTGGGAGGGGAGAAGATGCGTTGGAATTGGAGAGTAGAGCTAGGGAGGTAGCTTCATCAATGGCTGTCTTGCCTGTGTGAGACCTTGAGTGTGATCCCTGGCACTGCATGGTCTGCCAAGCATCTCTGGGTGCAGCCCGGCCAGCCTCAAACACTGCTGGACTGAAGTAGTGCCCCTTCAGCAGACCCTAGCACTGAACCATGTAAGCCTGAACAAGTGGGCCAAGAATTCCTCAGAGCAGCCCCTGAGACTGCTGAGCGTCGCTTGGGAGGCCTCTCTTAAGGAAAACTTGGATGGCCAGTCATAGTCATAAGGGCTTAGTTTCTTTTTGCATTCTGCTCCTAGTCTACCAGATTTGCTTCTTTATTGTATTCTGCTCTTAGCCCTTTCTTTCATGAAGAGAGAAAGTAAAACTTACCATGAATGCTTACCGTGTTTACAGGGGATTAGAAGCATTACCCTGTGAAAAGAACTCTATCCCTTGTTCCCCAACAAAAAAGAAAATGGAAAGGACATGGCGGGGCTTTAGGATACAAAAGTTAAAGTTCTAATTTTGGTGCTAGTAAGGAGAGGTTTTTTTTAAAAAGACATTTTATCAGGGAATTATAAGAGAGAATAACGAGAAAATGTACATAGTGATTGTTGTTTTTTTTCTTTTTCTTGGAATAAAACGGATAACATTGCAGGTATTCCTTAATGTTTTGGCCATCTCTTTTTTAATATTGTGACATGAACATGGACATACTTCATATGGATTTTGAGAATAGTAAACCTAGCAAAAGTGTGATAATAGAGTAATTATGTTTCATTTATTTTCAAAACTTAGTTTAGGGACCAGAGCAATAATATAGTGGGTAAGGTGTTTTCCTTGTACACTGCTGACCCAGGTTTGATCCCTGGCACCCTATATGGTCCTCCATGCCCATCAGGAGTGATCCCTTAACATCACCGGGTATGGTTTAAAAACAAAGTTCATTTATTTTTAGTTTGGGGGCTACATATGGCAGTGCTGGGACTGTTCCTGCCTAGGGCTTGGGGGTTGCTCCCTCTGGTTGAGTGCAGTGCCCCGTGGTGCCAGGGATTAAACGCGACAGGAATCCCAAGAGCAAACAGAGGCTCAGCCCGTTAAGCTGTCTCCCTGACCCCAATAGTAATGATTTTTTATTATTTAGTTATTTTTCTATTTTGGGTCATACCCAGTAGTGCTGAAGGGTTTTTTCCAGCTCAGTACTTACTTGGGGGTCACTCCTGGCAGTGGGACCATATGGTGACAGGGATTGAACCTCAGCCATCACATTTCTTTAATTTTATTTTGGGTTTTGAGCCTTGCCTAGTGATGCTCAGGACTTAACTCCTGACTCTGTGCTCAGGGATCTTTCCTGGTAGGGCTGGTGGGGGGTGGGGGGGCAAAAGGAGTCCCAAGATCAAACTTAGTCAGCTGTGTGCAAGGCCAAACACTCTACCCTCTCTATTAGCTCTCCGTGCTCATCATTTAAGTTTAAAAAAGGTTGTTGCCCTTAGGCCCAGAAAATAGACTAAGTGATAAGAATGAATAATTCACTAATGAATATTCCTTCATCGTATTCTTAATTGTTCTGCTGCGCTTTGTTCTTGGTCTAAATTTGGTACAATTAAAATATTTAATGGAACACCATAAAATTGTTGATGACTTTGATCCATATAGGTAAAATCCAATATAATCTTTAGAGTAAGAAATGAAGGGATGCATTATTATCTTGTACATAAGTAAGACTGAATATGGTTCGTAAATAATTTGCTTCCCATAAGTTTGCCACTGTTTGGAGCTCTCTTGTGTTCATTCTTTAAAACGTTTTGTTGCTTTCTTTAAACTGCAAGTTAAAGTCATGATATCTTCTTGAATTTTAGGTACTTACACTGTGAAATTTTATGATGGAGTAGTTCAGACTGTCAAACATATTCATGTCAAACCTTTTTCCAAAGATCAGGTGAGAAATGTGGTTTTGTGCTTTGTGGTATGAAAAATGCTAATGGCTGTAGTTTTCTTTCTCTAATAAAGGATATGTATTTGTGTATGATGGCAAAGTGTTTATTTTTCCCATCTGACAGTTTTAGCAGTAAACAATATGCAGCTTGTGAGAAAATTTTTAAAAATTCCTGGGTTGGGGCAAATCTGGTAGTGTTCAGGACTTACTTTTGACTCTGTTCAGGGATCACTCCTGACAGGCTTGGAAAACCATATTCAACCGAGATTGGATTCAACCGGGTTGGCTGCTTGCAAGGCAAATGCCCTACCCACTGTGGCCCCAGAATTTAAAATTTGTTTTTGTCTCTCTCTGCTGTTTCTTTTCCACAGATTCTTCTTTTCAGAGTGGCAAATATTTGGACACCTGTTATCCTCAGTTCCTCATCTTTTGTCAAAAGTGTCTGGTTATTATTATTTATTATTTTTTATTTTGCGGGGGTGGGGGGACCACACCCAGTAGTACTCAGGACTTCCTCTTGGCTCTGCACTCTGTGATCACTCCTGGTGGTGCTTGGAGGACCATACGGGGTGCTGGGGATTGAACCCAGGTCAGCCATGTGCAAGGCTAGCGGCCTACCTGCTGTACTATCTCTCTGGACCTTGCATGCTTGTATCTTAACCCCTGTACTATTTCTTCAGCCTCTCATGTCTAATGTGATTTCTTAATGAATTAAGATCATGCAATTAAATTTCGATTTTTTTTTTTCATTTTGGGTCTTTGGCGGCACACAGTCATGTTCAGGGGCTACATCCAGCTCTGTGCTTAGGGGTCAGTCAATCCCCACAGTGCTTGGTATCAGAGATTGAACCCAGGCCTCCTACATGCAAAACATGCACTTAGTCTATTGAGTTAATCACTCTGGCCCCTAGATATTGTTGTTGTTATAATTGATATTATTAATTATTATTATTATTATTATTATTAGTTTCATGGCCACACCTGGCAGTGCTCAGGGCTTACTCCTGGCAGGCTTGAGGGACCATTTGGAGAGCCAGGGATCGAACTCTGGTCAACTACGTGCAAGGCAAGCACCTTCTCTACTATCTCTCTGGTCCCTGGATATTACTATTTTTTAAAAATTCTGATTAGGCTTGCTCTTTGATCCGTGTTCTCTCTTGAACACCTCTCTCGCTGCTTGTCTCTGTCTCTTTGCTTGCTTGTTTATTTGCTCTTTCAAGCTTGTGTTTTCTCTTGAACATGTATTCCTTTCTTTCGTCCCCCCTTGCATCTGTCTATGTAATTTTTGTTCAATAAAACTGTCTTGCTTCACTAAAAATAAATTATTTAAATTAAAAGTTTGATTGTTGCTTATTTTAGCAGTTGAGTCAATGAATCCAGTTTAATGAAAGATTAATGCATAACTACTCACGACTGTGGGTCAATATGCTGGAAATCTGTGTTTTGTCTTTCCTCCCCCCCTCTCCCCCCTCCCTCCCCTCCCTTCTTTTGTTAGCCACATTTGGCAGTGCCTGGGGGACAACTCCCAGCAGTGCTTGGGAAGACCATGTGGTACCAGGGATCAAACCTAGATTTCCTGCATGCAAAGCACCTGCTCAGCCTCTTATACTAGCTCTCCAGCTGTGTGTGTGTTCGTGTGTGTTACCAGGGATAAAACCAGGGCCTCATACATGCTGAGCAATATCACTGGCCCGCTTCGTGTCTTAGGATGATGAAATGTTTCTGCGTATCAGAGATTTGGTTAAATCCTTCTATACGTATACTTAACAATTTTAAAGAATCGTGACACATGCTATTCTAAAAGGTAGTCTCAAGAATATTGTTGCTTTTATTGGTTTTTCCTATTTGGAAAATTGACAAAATTATAAAACTTTAGTGTTGAAGATGATTTTTTTTTCTCTCTCTTCTGGTTTTTGAGCCACAGCCAGTTGTGTTCAGGGCTTGCTCCTGGCTTTTCGTTCAGGGATCATTCCTGGCAGACGCGGGGGATCAAATGGGGTGCCTGGGAATGAACCCCAGGTTGGCTGCATGCTGTGTTGTCACTCCAGCCCCACATGTTGAATATGTTTCATCAGATTATTTCCCCTCAGGCATTACACAGTACTGCAACATATCATATTTACCTTAAATTTGACAATTTTATAGTTTGTGGAGTAAGTTAGTACAGAGAATACATTAAAAATTTGTCCAGTATTGTCAGGTTGTGCTAGAACTCCACAATTGAAAGTCCAGGACTCCAGATAACAAATATTTGGCTCTTTACTCTGTTGCACTCAGCAAACTAATGACTTGCACTCATAGTGTTTTCAGCTTACAGATGGGCACCGCTCCCAGTTTGGATTTGTGCCACAGTTTTCAGTGCCCAGCTGCCGCTGAGTGTTCATCACTTCTCAGACCTGGCATATGGTTTAGCAAGACCTACTTATTTTTGTTTTTCCAGGAGGGCTTAGTGGTTTGGATTAATGATTTTCCAGATCACTTCAACCTTAATAGTAGAAGATTCTGGGACTGGAGAGATAGATCAGTGGGCTGGAGCACATGTTTCGCAGGCATAAGGCCCATATCCTATCTCTGACATGGTCCTCCAAGCACTGTCAAGGTTGAATTCCAGAATACTGAGCTAAAAGTAGCCCTTGAGCACCATGGCCCCCAATTCAAACAACTACCCTCCCCTTTTTTTAGATTTTATAAAGTTCAGTTACAAGCAAAACTTATAAACTATCACAATTTTTTTGTGTTTGTGTGTACCCTACCCAGTTCTGCTTAGGGCTTACTCCAGATTCTGCACCCAAGAATCACTCCTGGTGGGCTCAGGAGATCCCGGGGATCAAATCCATTTTGGCCACATGCAAGGCAAAGCCCCTCTCACTATTGCTCGGCCTTTGTCACAGACAAGTTTTAAAGGTTTTTGCTTTTTTTTTTTAAAAAAAAAATTAGAACAAGTTTTTCTGTAGAACTACACTGCCCTACATATTTTAATTTACATTTTAGAAACATTTATTTTTTTTTAAGCAGTAAAATCAATATTTGTAGAAAAATTGGAACATGAAAAACAGTACAAAGAAACAAAAGTGTATAATTCTGTCATTTAGGTACAATTGCTGTGAACATTTTGGTATGTGCTTTGTTAATGTTTTATGCGTGTGTGAGTGTGTATATGCGCGTGAATATATATATATATGTGTGTGTATATATATATATATGCCTTCAGAACTAGAGTAATGTGTATATTACTATTCTGTAACTTGCTTTTTTTTTTTTAACAAAACATTTCCCCCAGATTCCTTACTACTATACGAGAACATAGGTTTTAATGGCTTGTCATAGTTAAATTAAGCATATGTAATCCTGCCTTTGCAGTGAATTCTCTAGTAGTTATTAAGGTTATTTGTAAATATTGGTGCACAAGTCTGATTATCCTATTAGCAAATTTCATTTCTAGAAATTCATTCTAGTTCAGAAGTAGAAACTTTTAAGACTTTTGACCCAAATGCTCCACTTCCTTCTTTGCAATTTATATTTCTGCCAGCAGTTACCCTGGAGTGTTTGTTTTCTAACATGACAGTGTTCAGAAAATGTTGGCAAATTGAAGTACTTCTTTCTAAGCTTTACAATCCCACCACCAGTGTGAACTGAACTGCCCTCTGCCAGTGTCCCCAAGTTCCCTGCTCCCCATCACCAAGTGTTTAGACACTTATTTCTGCTTCTAGTAAAGATCTGTGTGCCTAGTGTGTGCTAGGTGCCAGGGAATGATAATGGTAATCCCCGCTCTACCCTTCAAGATGTAGAAGAGGGATATACTCACAGGTAAACTTAATTGTAGTTTTTGAAAGTCCAGAGCTTTCAGAGTCACCTTTATTATGAGACAGTTATAGTAGGATACAAGATATTTTTATGCTGAATTTTAAAGAAAGTATTATAGGAGAAAAGTAACCACAAAGTCATACTTCCTCCTGACGGACAAAAAAACCCCTAGGAACCCAGTGGCTCACTTTTTGGACCAAGAACTGCCTTAACCCTGAAGAGGAAGGCAGAGACCTTGTTACTGGCTTGGACACGCTTAATACCATAACTGTTTGGCTTCCAGTTATCATTTTGGGTTCTTCATTGTCAGATATGAGTATCCATGGGCAAAGCGAGCCAGGCCTCTGGTAGGCTCCTGTAGTCCTGCTCGGGATGAGGAGGACAGGGCATGACGCTTGTTCTAAAAGTGTCTTTGTCAGAAAATTGCTTTCTAGAAGTCCCTATGGGTAGATAATTATTTTTCAGTAATTAACTATAGTAAGGAAGAGTGCTCCCTGAAGGAACTGAAAATACTGTTTTCTTCTATAAACTTGTGTTGTTTTTTAAACCTCAGCCTGGGAGGATAATTTATTGCATTCAGTCATGTGACCTGGCATATATCTTCTTTTTATTTCTTTGTCTGTCTTCCTATGTTTTTTTTTTTTAAAGCCACTTGATTTTGTATTTGCAAGTAATCACAAAGTGTGTTTCATCACTATTTTACCCATTTTAGAATATTGTGGGTACTGCTAGGCCTAAAGAAACAGATCACAAAAGTCTTTCATCATCTCCTGATAAACGAGAGAAGTTTAAAGAGCAGAGAAAAGCCACGGTCAACGTGAAGAAGGACAAAGAGGACAAAGCTTTTAAAACAGAAAAGAGAACCAAGCAGCCTGAGAAAGAAGGAAAGTTAATCTGTTCTGAAAAGGGGAAGGTTTTGGAGAAAAACCTTCCCAAGAACGAGAAAGAAGATAAGGAGAACATTTCAGAAAATGACAGAGAATATTCTGGAGACGCTCAAGCGGATAAAAAACCGGAAAATGACATTGTGAAGAGTCCACAAGAAAACTTGAGGGAGCCAAAAAGAAAACGAGGCAGACCCCCTTCCATAGCTCCTACTGGTGAGTTTCCCGAGTGGGCTCTGCGATGGGCAATGCCAGAGTGGTTTCCTGTTGCCCTTGGTTCTCTCTAAGTCCTGTACTTCATTTCTTCATTTTTTGTGACTGACTGAAACGTCCTGTGACCTGAAAACCAGCTGTGTCTATGGAGCTAACATTTTAGGGAGGCGTGTATCCACATGGATAGATGGGAAACTGACAAAACACAGTGACTTCTAAAAAGTTTAAAATTATGTATTTTGCTTGGATTTGTGGCTCTCATTATATTTCTATTGGACAGCCCTGTCCTAAATTTATTGGCTTCCTCAACAGGGAGTGCATCAACCTCTGATGCCCTTGGCATTCATGATCAGTAAACAAATTGCCTTCTGAAGTGCATTGAGACTAATTATCAACCATGCAGGGGAAAACTGAGGAAATGACCTCTGGGATCAAACGAGGAGCCCCATTCGAGAGAATCTGGAGGTTTTGAGCCTCTGGGCAGTGTACAGTCTTAAATTTGGGGTGAGTGAGTGGCAGGCCTTTTCATGTAAGTGGGGAAAAAGGTACTTGTGCAAGAAGAGGTGGAACAAGTAATTGGCTGAATCTGATGTGCACTCATCTGAGTTTAGCAAAGAGTGTGTGTGGGAACTGATTGTTCTGGAACAGATTCCTGTTTAGCTGTTCACACTCTGGCTTATGCCCTCTGGAAAGTGTGGGCTGGGCTAGTTGCATTGGAATTTTCAGATTGTCCTATGAAGCTACATGCCTTCAGTCAAGTATAAAAGGGGGACGGGGCATTTCACTTATTACTTTCATTTGATCTGTGTGGGAGTTCATGCCAGATAGGGTCATTTCATTAAGTAGTAATTTCCTGGGTCGGGGAGATAGTTCACACAGGGTAGCACACAGACTTTGCATGCAGGAGGCCCAGGTTCGATCCCCAGTACCACATGGTCTCCTGAGCACTGCCAGGAGCAATCTCTGGGCACTGAGCTGAGAGTAACCCCTAAGCAATACTAGGTATGAACCTAGAAACAAAAATTGCAAAAGAAAATGAAAAATGTTTACTAACACTTGCCCAACACATTCGAGTCTGGAAATCAATCCAGATAGTTCTTACTGAACTATGAGTTTGGGAAACACTGGATTTCTGTAATAGTCTAACATATGGAATTATAAGTAAAAAAGGGCAAAGATCTCATATACTTCAAATTCCCATTAGAGTTTTCTTGAAGTAAATTCACTGACTATAGCTTTGTACTCTAAACAAAATGGATTGGAACAGGATCTGAGTGATTTTGGGAGGGTTGTTTGTATTTTTGTGTACTTTGGAATGTGTGTGATTTCCATGTTCCCACCACTTGAACAGAACAATGCTGGTGCTTTGGAAAGACTGAACACGAAGCGCCGAGGTGTCTGGCACTCTCGTCAGCATTGCCTTAGAGCGCAGCCCGTCTCTTGTTGGGCTTTTTGACCTGACTGGTCCGAAGCTCTTGGCCTTATTGAGCCTTCTCAGTCCCCTTCCATTCTTCTCCTTTCTCTTTCCCCTCCCACTTGCTTGTCTTCCTCCCTCTTCTTCTTTCTGCCCCCTTTTTTTCCCTTCTCTCCTCTCATTGTTCACAGATCTCTTCGTCCGGCCTTCTACCAGGCTTCCAGAATTCTTGTTGTTTTTCTTCTGCCTGCCTTTTGGAGTCTTATCTTTCCTGACTGTAGGAAAGTTTCTTAAGTGTAAGGTTTAAAAGTAAAGTGTGTCAAGTGTGAGTATACTGATCCAAGGGTTTAGTGTACTCTGCTTATATTATCGATGCACTGCTTATATTAGAGCTCGATTCACTAGGGATCAGCCCTTTCTGAATACTTGACAGACAGCATAGTCTATATTGAGATTCTTCTGATGGTATAATGATTGTTGTTGTTGTTGTTATTATTATTATTATTATTATTATAGGCTACACCTGATGGTGCTCGGTGCCAAGAATAAAAGCTGTGGCTCCTGCATGCAAAGCAAGCACTCCAGTCCTTTGAGCCATTTCCTCATCTCTGAAAATTATATTTAGTAGGATGTAGATGTTGATATTCTTTTTGGTCCCTCAAAACTAGGATGAATGCCGCGCTAACAATTTAGCATGGAGAACATAAACTAGTAATCAAACTGTTAGTCCCAGGGCCTGCATATTAGGATAAGCCAAGTTTTGGTGAAATTTGATGACAATGGAAATGACTTTTGTCTTGTTGCCTTCTTCTTTTAAAGTCCTGTTAGTCAGTCATGCTTGGGATAGAGTGTTTAAGAAGAAGGGTTGGGAAAAAAAGTCTATAACTAGAGGAGAGGCAAAGCAGAAAATAGGTCAGTCCACCAGTTGTCAGCATCTTCCATAAGGAAGTAATTTCACATTCTTTTTTCTTTTTAGCTCAAGGAAGAAGGCTCTTTGAAGGGTCTGTTTGCCTCTGTGTGTGTTTTACTTATGTTTAATGAGGGTTGGACAGTGAGAAATAACATATTTTCTGTGTGTGTGGTTTTATGTACATTGTAGCTGTGGATTCAAACTCTCAAACTTTGCAACCAATAACATTGGAATTGAGAAGACGGAAAATATCAAAAGGAAGTGAAGTCCCATTAAAACGTCCTCGACTTGACAAAAATTCATGTGAGTCTCCAGTGTGTGTGTATGTTTGTGTGTGTGTGTTGTGTGTGTTGTGTGTATGTGTGTGGGGGCTGGAACTTGACATCAGTTGGGTTAACCTCCCTGTATCTGTATTGTCCTCTCGTTTTGTAAACACTAAAGTTTGTTTTCAGTCACAGTCCATAATGCAGATGGATCAAACACACTGGAGTTTTGCTGGGAAAAAAAAAAATCCAAAGCACAAACTATTTTAATGTTAGGTTCTGGGTTATCATCTTCTACCAATAAACTACAGTTGGTTTGGATTTGGGTTTGAGTCAGAATTTAATAACTAAGGGTTGACTTTTATATGCTAAGTGACATTTTCAAAATACTGTTTATTGGCTTAAGGAAAGTACTCTCCTGGTGTGAAAAAGCATTAGTGTTGACTTGAAAGCTCTATAAACCTTATTAACTTTGGAAGTTAGTATCTAGACTCTTCTTACCCCAAAATAGTACTTATTCATCAAGATCAGGACATGACAACTTCCTTGTTAATGAGGGGGCATAACTTTGGTATATAGTTTCAGGCCATGGATGCTTGAGTAAGAAAAGTTCTGTCTTGTCAGAATGTACCTGTACTTAAAACTGTAAGCTGGGGTGGGTGGGGGTGACTTCGAGTAGGATGGGGGACAAAAAGCAACCAAAAAAAGAAAATCCTCAACCCGTTCCAGTAAAGTAGGAAAGGACATTTCCTTTTATCATTGATTTTAGAGGTCTCTCTATAAAGTCTTTTAAGAGCAAGCAATTCAGAAACTAGTTATTGCTTCTTATTGATCTCTTGCGTCTCAATTGTTTGCAGCCCAGGACAAGTCAAAAACCTTCCCTGAAAACACTGACAAAGATTTGTCGAGAAGACGGTCCTCCAGGCGGTCCACTAATGGGACCTCTGAGCTCCTGGAACCTGACTTAGTTGTATCAGATCTGTCTGGTACTACTCATACAGATCCCTTACAGAACTCATTGTCCAGTACCAAGGAATCTGAAGGAGGTGAGTCAGAGGTCTTTCAGAAATTGTCTTTTGAACGGGATGCTTACATAAGGTGAAAACCCAACTGAAATCTCTGTGTAACTGCCCGAGATGGCTGGATATCAGTCAAGTCATTGAGTAAATTGCAGTGTTTCTTCATATTCTTCTTCAAGAGAACAAGCTTTTGGTGCACATTTGCATTTGATCCCGTTTGTGCGCGCATAGTGTTGGCTTGGAGGCGCAGTGCTGGCCTGTCCCCTCTGCCTGCAGGTGCCATCCTGCTCCAATGCCTGGCCTTCCGTCCCCTCCCCTAGCTCAGCCTCCCTCCCCACTGTAGCTTCTAACTAGTGTCTGGTCAGGGGGCTGCTCACAGCCTGTATGTGTTGGAAACCATGTATCTTCACAGATGTCACAAGAGGATGGTTTCCTCCAAAAGGCCCCCGACTTTACTAGTGTGTTGTGGGACTTTGGAGGCCTCCGAGCACATAAATGTATACATACATTCCCTAAGCTTCTCTCCTTGCTGTTTCTTCCTCCTAGGTCATTTGAAATCTTCTTTGGAAGCTGGCCAGGTCTCATCTGCATTAACGTGCCACTCCGTGGGGGATGGAATAAGGTCTGCAGGCTTGGAATTGAACTGCAAGTCAATGGGAGAAAACACTATGAAAACAGAACCAGCGTCTCCCCTTGCTGAATTACAAGAGGTTTCTACCGTGGCAGGTTCATATTTAAAAATAACTAATTTTCTTCTGATACATACTTTTGCTTCTGCTTTCACTATAAACTTAAAATGGACTTTTCTTTGGCTTTTTTTTTAACCTATAAAAATATATTAATATACCCTTTTCTGATGTTAATAATTTGTCGGTTTTGGAGGGATAGAGAAATAATACCAAAGGATAGGGCACTTGCCTTGCACCGCCTGGGTCCAATCCCTGGTGCTCCATATAGTCCTTGAAATCACTCCAGGACTGATCCTTGAGCACAGAGTTAGAAGCAAATCCTGAGCACTGTTGGGAGTGGCCCAATAGCTCAATGGGGGCAGAGTGATATTATAGTAGGTAAGGTACTTGCATTGCATGGGCTGACACAGGTTCGATCCCTGGCACACATATTATTCTTCTGTGTCTGTCAGGACTGTTTCCTGAGTACAGAGTCAAGAGTATAAACCCTGAGCACCACCAGGTGTGGGCCCTTGCCAAAAAAGGCCATTGCACACCCCTGCCCGCCATTTGCTTTCCTTTATTAGTATGAGAAGGGATTTATCTTTTGTTTATTGCTTTAAAGAGTTAACCTTTTCATTGTCTCTCTTTGTCACATGTGGGACTAGAGAGATAGCACAAGGGTTAAAGCTTTTGTCTGGCATGTAGCTGGTCCTAAGTTGAAACCCAGCACCACATACAGGCCCTGAGTACTGCCAGTGTGCCTGCCTCCCCACCACCCCTGCCCCCGCCCCCAGTAAAGGTCACATGTCTGGTTTTGATCTTCATTATTTTTTCCTTTAAATTTTTATAGAAATTTAATTTCTAGATATTTTTAGTTTAGTTTTGTTTTGTTTTTGGGCCATACTCAGCAGCTTCTGAGGGTTATGTGTCAACTCAATGCTTGGAGCTCCCTTGTCACCAGTGCTCAGGAGACCATGCTATGCCAGCAGTGTAACTTGGGCCTCCTGCATGTAAATCATGCACTTTAGCCCTTTGAGCCATCTCCGTGGCCTTCTTTTACAGCATGTACAGTAATAACTTTCTCACTCAACCCTGTGTTACTTGTGTCTTACAGATTTGTTGTATTTTCATTTTCTTTTTTTTTCAGCCCTTCCCTCCAAAAGTTAGTTTAATTTAAAGGACTGGAGTAATCATACAAAGCGTAGGGTGCAGATACACTCTCACCTCTCCTGTTGGTAAACACACACATTTTCTTTGTGTGTGTGTGTGTGTGTGTGTGTGTGTGTGTGTGAAAGAGAAGAGAAAGAGAGAGAACGAGAGAATGAAAGAAAGAGAAGGATATATGCCCTTTGAGCACTCTCCTTGGCCCTAAACAGATTTATTGAGAACCTTTCCTCCCCTTCCCTTTCCTTTTTGTTTGTTGTTGTCACTGTTATGACATAACATGGGTCACACTTGTAATTGTGGTGCTCACACACACTTGGCTGTGTGCAGTGGAGACCACACAGCTGTGACACCAGGGATCCCAGTGGTGCAGTTGCAGGGATGCACCTGGTGTTGTGGGCAGTGCTAGGGATTTGGCAAGGGATGTGCTCTGCCGCTGAGTCCAACTCCTGGACCTACTGAACCTGTTTGGTCACTTTCATTTCTAGCCAGAGCCAACAGATGGCATTTGATGGCACTTTCATCATCTTGGAGGTCATATATGTGTTTACTCTTGGCCTTTATCCCTCTGGAGATGCTCATGTTTTCCTTTTTTTTTAAAAAAAAATTATATTTAGGACAGCATTTAAATATTAATCACTTAACTGATTTCAGACCCCTGGCACCACTGGGAGTGACCCCCCACAACAATTCAAAAAAAGTCTCCTGAATATGAATGTGATAGTATTTAAATATTTTCTAAGGTAAAATCACATCAGTTATTCCTTCAATTTCTTTTTTAATTTAATTTTTTTTGGTGGGGTCACACCCAGCATTGCTCAGGAATCACTCCTTCCTCTATACTCAGGAATTTTTCCTGATGGTGCTTAAGGAACCTTATAGGATGCTGAGAATCAAACCCGGATTGGCATTATGCAAGACAAATGTCCTATCAGCTATATTATCTCTTTGCCCTCAGTTTTTTTTATTCAGAAATGTAACATGGCAGAATTTATGGAATCCCAGCTGGTATGGACCTCTATGAACTTTTAGTCATGAGGAGAGAGCATTTTGTTAAATTCTGACTTGGGATGGGTGGGGGGGGGGGGGCAGTGGGAATCTTGGGCCACCCCGGGCAGTGCTCAGGGCCTGTTCCTAGCTCTCTGCTCAATGGTGACAGACCTCTGGCAGTGCTCAGGGGATCATATGTGGTGCTTGGGAATGAACCAGAGTGAATGCTCTCCAACCCTTTCAACTATCTCCCCCTCTTATAAGTACTGCTTTTTTGATGAATTTTAACAGCTATTCTCTGAATTAAGGCAGCTAAGATTCCTTTTTATATGCATGCATGTGTGTGTTTTTTGTTGTTACTGTTATGATCCTATTTATTTATTACTTTTTGAGCACTTAATTATTTTCTTTTTATTTTATTAAAAACATCACAGTGAGAGACACAGTTTCAAGGTTGTTCATGATTGGGTTTCAGTTATATAACATTCCAACACCCGTTCCTTCACCAGTGCACATTTCCCACCACCTATGTCCCCAGTTTCCCTCCTACCCCAAAGAACCCTGTTTTAAAAAGAAATTTAAGTCAGTTTACTTGGATAGCTGAGTTTTATTTCTGCTAGCACATGGTCCCCTAACCTGTACCTGGACTCCTGGGGTTCTCAAGCATTGCTGCATGTCACTCCAGTGACCTCCAAAGGCCATCAGCTTTGGCACCACTGGGAGTGATCCTGGGTCCTGAGTGCTGCCAGATGTGGTCTCTATAAGAATATTTTATAACGAGTCATCTTGATGGTACCTTCCTATGCATCTTGAAAACAGTGTGTGCTAGAAAAAATTAAACCAAGTGGTGCTCAGGGATTACTCCTGGCTCTGTGCTCAGGGATCACTTCTGGTGGGGCTTTGGGGATAACATGGAATGCTGGGGAACCAAGTTGGGTCTGTTGCATGTATTGCAAGTGCCCTGTTGTGCTCTCCCCAGATGATTAAAACCACGTTTTAAAAACAGTGGATATCATATAACCTCTCACAGAGCTTTCACACTCACAGGAGCATGCATGGCCTTCTAGTGTTCTGCACATAGTTCTTGTACGTGGACTGACACATATTCACTGGTGCTGAATAGATAGCTCAGTGGGCTGAGCACATACTTTGCATGCAGGAGGCCCAGTTTTGATCCCCAGCACTGCATGGTCCTCTTGGAAATGCCGGGAACAACCCTTGAGCACAGGGCCGAGAGAAGTCCCTGAGCATTGTTGGGCGTGGTCCAAGAAACAATTCACAATTCCAAAATATTACATATGTATGCAAATAGAGCTTTAGAAAGACAATAATGAAGTTGTGCTCTTAAATTAAGTGACTGTTTTTTCCCCACTTTTTGGGTCGCATCCACTGATGCACGGGGTTACTCCTGGCTCATGCACTCAGGAATTACTCCTGGCAGTGCTCAGGGGACCATGGGATGCTGGGAATTGAACCTGGGTTGGCCGCATGCAAGGCAAACGCCCTACCTGCTTTGCTATTGCTCCAGCCCCAGTTACTTTCCATTTTTCTGTAGTGTTTTTCTGTTCTGTCTCCTTTGATAGTTACATCTCATCAATTTCATTGTGTGCTTGTTTTACAATGTATGTTTCCCTTGCTGAAGGTCATGGAGGTTGTCTTTTCACTGTTTTCTGGACAAAGAGTCTATAGAACATGACAGGAAGGAGTGAATTAGCCAACGTTGCCACTTTCTAACGGCCAGTGATGTGGCCTGTGGCTCCTGTTTCCCATCTGAGTTCCTGATGTCACTTGAGGGCATGCTTGGTGCTTTATGAATCAAGTGAGGTGAACATGATCCCTGGGTTCCTGGGTCCTTGCCTCTGGGGAAGTTGTACAGTAAGTAATGCAAAAGTCCCCCCAGGTTCTCGAGGCCATTTCAAGTAGTTATAGGGCCAGGGGGATCAAAGAGAGTACCTGGATCATCTGACCTTTTGATTCCTTGTACGTCGTGATCTTCTGAGCACCCCTGCAAGCAAGCTATCAGCAGAGAGCCAGGAGTTGTCCATGAGCAGTGTGTGTCCCATGCCTCACTCCCCGGATCCCCAATAATAAACAGTGGTTTGTGCACTCTTAGGTGGATTCATTGAATGGGCAGGCCTGACAGCCTTGCTGCTGCAAGGGTTTCAAGTGATGTCAGTCCTGCGGGCAGGACTTTGGAATTCTATGATACGATGAGTTCATATTGGTTGATCTGAAAACAGAAAGATATTTTCTGTCCAGCACTTGTGTTCGTGGTATTTCTTTTGGAACCGGGGCTATGTTGAGCACAGGAAGATCCCTGAAAGATTGCTGGGAGAGGGGGTTGAGAGCTCATCCAGCAGGAATGCATTATGTAAGGAGGCAGGCCCAGAGGGTGGTGTCATTGGCAGAAGCAGGCTTCTTCAGGAGCCTGGCTGCTGTGGCTGCTTCGTGATTGCTGTCCTGAACCAGGAGCCAGTCTGGGGATTCCTAACCAGGGATAGACTCACTCTGAAACCTTAGTGTGAAGGCGGTTTGTGGGCAGCAAGAGAAGGAGCGGAGGCAGGGCCACAGCTAGTGCTGAGTAGAGAGGAGCTTAGCTGCTTGGAACACGCCGTAGGGGCCGCTCTGCCACCTTGTGGGATAAACAGGCAAGTGGGTTTTGGCCTCCTGGTACAGGGATTTGCCTGCTGACTTGGCAGAGCTGCTTTCTTCCCTTTTAGCTCTGCTCTCCAGGTATTTTTCCTGCATACATGTTTCTGTCCAGCACTTGTTTTAAGAAATTTATATTCTGAAATAATTCCACATGCAAAAAGCAGCAAACATAAAGAATTTCCAGATACTTCTGTCTCCACTTGTTAGCAACTTACCCAGTTTGCTTTATTGTTCTATTTAAAAGATTTGTAAATTTAATTTTTAACTTATGTCTCCTCTAGTGTTGCTGATGGTGCGATGATAGAGGTTGGGGTGGGGGCCTGGTAGGACAGAATCCAGAGGGGAAGGGATGAGGGACAGGGTGGCCTGAGCAGAGGCATGGACTGTGGGAACCAGAAGCAGTTCCTGGCTGTGGCAGTCGCAGGGACAGCTGCTGCAGACTAGTTGTGGGTTCCTGGGACATGAATTGGGAATAACTTTGGATGCCGGACAACACAGCTGGCCTGAATATCACCATGGAGATTGGGAGGCTTTAAGATCCAGTGCCTGTACAGTAAAATGAAACAAAGAAACAAAGACAGTGAAGAAGGCAGAACTGTGGTGGGATTCTTGAGCCTCACGGGGCAGCACCTGGGGGCTGCTCCCAGCCCAGAGTGTGGGGTGGTGTCAGGGATGAAACTCCTGCATCCAAATCATTCACTCAACCCTCCGAGCTATTCTTTCTAGCCCAGGACATTTATTTCTAAGCTAAGCTTCAGGAAATATAGTTTAAAAAGTGCAGGAGATTGTATCCTTACCGTTAAAAGGAAAACATGAAGCCTTGCCCATGAATATACAAGTTGGAGAGCTTCTGACCCTCCTCTGTGTAGCACGGCAGCTGAAGGCGTCACTGCTGTTTCCATGAGTGAGGAGCCGCTGCACGACTTGGCTGGACTGTGATCAAAGCTGCAGCCATGGGTTTCGACAGAGCTATGCTCTCCTCTGAAAACGTTGCCGAGGTGGGCACTACTTCTGTGCTGACGTGGGTGTGGGCCGCTCCCACTCCATGTGTGCTGTCTGCTGGGAGCACAGAGTTTTGCTGGCGTTCTCAGCTCCCTGTTGGTGGGCTTGTCTCCCACAGAGCAAATCACAGCGAACAACTTGTTCAGTCCCGCCAGCAAGGAGAGTGCCCACTCAGAGGATGGCTTTGACATTCTTTTTGGCTTTTTGAGCCACAAAAAGCCAAAGGTGGTGCTGAGGGGCTGTTTTTGGTGCTGTGCTCAGGAGTCAGTCTTGGTGGTGCTGGGAATTCAAACCAATGTCCCTTATGCATAGCAAGCACCTTAACCCCTGTACTTTCTCTCTGGGCCCCAGACTTCACATTCTTTTTTTTTTTTTTTTTGTAGTACTGCTATTTATTCAGCCACTGATTAGCTGATTGAATTGTGCATGAACTCCACCAGACTTCACATTTTTAAATACTGTTCATGATTGTGCTATACTGTTCACTTTGGCCTATCTAACGACAGGGTCTGCCCTCTGGGGGTACATAACTTACTACACACAGCTGTGGATATCAGAAGGCAGAAATCTTTAGGAGACATCTTAGAGTCTCCTAAAAGGGGTTGTGGGTTCTCATCAACCGTGTCAGAAAAAGTAAAGAAGTTACCATGACTAACAGCAAATTCAAATCCTCTGGACCATTTATTTTTCGGTATGTACTAATAAATGGTAAGGTAAAGGTAAAGGCCCTCCCGTTGATCGTCGATTTGCTCGAGCGGGCCCAGTAACGTCTCCATTGGAGACTTTGTTGTTACTGTGTCTGGCATATCCAATACTCTCAGTAGCTTGCCGGGCTCTCCGAGAGGGGTGGAGGAATCGAACTCAGGTTGGCCATGTTGGCCGCTTGTAAGGCGAACGCCCTACCCGCTGTGCTATCGCTCCAGCCCTAATAAATGATAAAACTTAATAAATGAAAAAGACTTGAGCAAAGTGTGACTTCAGGAACTTTGATCTGGAAGCTAAGGGAGAAGACATGTCTAAACTTTGCCCTGATTCCTCTGAACAAAAATCTCTTCAAGGAAGATTATAGAGCATTCAGTGATAATACCAGTAACTACTTGAAAATATCCACTTATATGCAGGCTGCTTTTCTGAAGTCAGAATAAATTCATTCTAGCAGTTTCTCCTATCCCAGAGATAATTTGATGAACCAGAGCGTTTATACCAGGTTTCCATGAGAATTTAATTTGCATAGGATTTGATTTAATTTGCATGCTTTCTGCTCTATTTCTCCTAATAATAAGTGCTTCCATCCTTTTTTTTTTTTTTAATTTCAGCTGGGGTGGGGAGCACACCTGACAATGCTCAGACCTTACTCTGGCAATGCTCAGGGACCATAAGGGATGCCAGGGATTGAACCCAGGTTGGTTGCATGCTAGGCAAGCACCTTACCCGCTATACTGTTGCTCCAGCCCCATAAGTGCTTCCATCTTGAGAGGACCACAATATCCCAAGAGTGGATGATGTCACTTAGCTGTTGATACCTCTGACCTATGTTCCAAATGGACAATCCTCCCACTGGGCATCCACCCCTGTGTGTGGAACTTGGGCTTCATGTGGTACAGCAGCCTTTTTGGTGACTGATAGCTTTCCTAGTTTCTTTTATTTGAAGGATTGGGGTGCCAGTGGTTGAACCCAGAGCCTGCTTCACGCAAAGCATGCCACCCCGCAACATCAGCCCAGTGCCTCTCAGTTTCTTTTTTTGTTTTGTTTTGTTTAACTTTTGGCTTTTTTGGCCATATCCCATGGTGTTCAGGGATTACTGCTCCTGACTCTGCACTCAAGAATTACTCCTGGTGGTGCTTGGGGGACGATATGGGATGCCAGATGAACCAGAATTGGCCACATACAAGGCAAATGCCCTGCCTGCTGTACTATCACGTTCTGCACCCCCTCCTCGCGTCCCGCTCTCACCCCACACCGCCTTAGTTTCTTTTTTCTTTTTAAATTTTTTTATTGACAGAATATTGTAGCCAGGAAGCATTTCTCTCCCTCAGTGCTGAATCAAAAAGTTTTCAGTGGGAGGGCTGGAGTGATAGGACAGCGGGTAGGGATTTGCCTTGCATGCGGCCAAACCATGTTCGATTACCAGCATCCCATATGGTCCCCCGAACACTGCCAGGAGTAGTCCCTGAGTGCATGAGCCAAGAATAACCCCTGTGCATCTCTGGGTTTGAACATAAAGAAAAAAAAATTGTCAGTGGGTTCAGTGTCTGTGTAGATGAAATTGAAGTAGTTCGGACAACTCGACCCAGAGTATAGAGGAAATGGGAACAGCAGTCTGAATACTATTTCAGAGGTGGTCCTGCTGGACATTTCTATCAACAGTGAGGATAAATATCCAAGAATATATATATCAGTTCACAGTAAAGAATTAGAAAGTTTTCTTGGATTAAAATTAGAACCAGGTCTTGATCCTGGAGAGAGTATACAGGGGTTAAGGTGGTTTGCCCTGTATATCACTGATATTCTCATTCAGACCTGGCTCTGCATGTGGTCCAAGTATTGCCAGTGATGGCCCCAGCCCACACCCCTGAAGGAAATACAAATGAAAAAATTAAAACCTGAGCCAGTAATGAACCACAGAACGAACAAAACGGAAAGCATGAGATCCAAACTACAATAACCAGACTTAAAAAATATACCTGCCAAGGAAGCAGGCTGGAGGCATGGGGAAGGGATTGGATAGGAGAGTAAATGAGGACATTGGTGGAGGGAAATTGACGCTGGTGATGAAATAGCCCTGGGAGAATTGTACACCTGAAACTCAACTAAGAGTAACTTTGTAAATCATGGCATCTAAATCAAAACAGACAGGACTGGGGACATAGGTCAGAGTGCTGGAGAATGTGCTTTGCGTGGGAGGCATGGGATTGATCCCTAGCATCACATGATTCCTGCCATGGAGCCAGGAGTAACCCTTAAGCACAATAACCTGTAGGGTATTACTGGGGTCCTGGCATTTATTTTTGGAATCTTGCCTTGTTCTTCTGTCAAGTCTGGAACCCTGAGAATTTGTATCACTTTTTTTTTAAAGGTGATATTTTCTTTCAAAGGCTGAATCACAGTTGAGTCTCTTGTTACTCATCCCAGAATCCCATTCATTGTCTCCAATCAGTTAAGCGTGGGGGGTAGTTGGCACTGTGAAGCCACTTTGTGGTGCTGTGTTTTAATGCATGTAATGTACAGCTTGGATAAACACGGGACATCTTTGTTTTTGCTTTTCAGTAACAAACACCCTTAAGAAAACAGATGATTTTGTGACATCAAAAACATCAACTGTCGACCTAGACCACAAATTTAGGTGCAAGGTGGTGGATTGTTTAAAATTTTTCCGTAAAGCCAAACTGTTGCACTATCACATGAAGTATTTCCACGGAATGGAGAAGTCCCCAGAACCTGAGGAGAGCACGGGAAAGAGGCATGTTCAGACCAGAGGCTCTTCCTCTTCAGCCTCAGACAAGGCCAGCCAGGAGAACCTGACGAGGAAGCGGGTCTCGGCCAGTTCCCCAAGTAAGTCACTTTGTTCTGTCTTGTATCTCTGTCTTGGGGGCTGTAGTCCTCAGATTGAAGTGCTTGCATTTGTGACACAGAAAACAGATGTCGGGGTTAGAGCAATAGCACAGCGGGTAGGCCGTTTGCCTGGCATGTGGCCAACCCAGGTTTGATTCCCAGCATCCCATATGGCCCCCCGTGCACCGCCAGGAGTAATTCCTGAGTGCATGAACCAGAAGTAAATCCTGAGCATTGCTGGGTATGACCCAAAAAAAGCAAAAAAAAACAACAACAAAAAAACCCCACAGATGTCAAGGTTGATCTGGTCCAGCTAACTCCCAAATGATTGAAAATGATGAATGATGGGTCAAAGGAGTATTCAGCAGTATGGCGTGCCAGCCTTTCTAAGCATAAGCATCACGGTCAAACCTCAGTGCCGCCAAGCACAGTTGTGACTGCCGTTTGAAGTCTCTGGCTTCAGCCAAGTCAGATGTATGTGACCACTGTGGCTTTCGGATGCTACTCCCAGTGGGTAGCGTAGTCAGCAAGTGTGATCCCTGGTGAGCGCCATGAGTAGGAAGTGTGCTGATTCTGCTACTAAAGGACTGTGATCCCAGGAGAGAATTGTGTATGATATCCGTGGCTCAGGCCTGGTGAGCACCAGCATGGATGTGACCCCTGGTCATTGCAGAAACTCCAGCAAACAGAAGGGTGGGGAAAAGTAAGACAGACTGACAATCATGGTGGAGCTGGGGCTTCCTGGAGAATCAGAAATGCCAAATGTGCACTCTTCCTCAGCCTCCTGCAGCCCGAGTTACTGTGGAAAAGTCACATAACCTGGGAAAGCCCTGTTACTCCCAGTCAAGCCAACGGAGCTCTCTTGGAAGCTAGCCAGAGATCTCATGGCTTATTTTTTCTGAAAGAAAAAGTATGTGTGTGTGTGTGTGTGTGTGTGTGTGTGTGTGTGTGTGTGTATCTATACAAAGTATATGTAAAAGTAAAGTAAAAGTAAAGGCCCTCCCGTTGATCATCGATTTGCTCGAGCGGGCCCAGTAACGTCTCCATTGGAGACTTTGTTGTTACTGTGTTTGGCATATCGAATACGTCGCGGGGAGCTTGCCAGGCTCTGCCGAGCGGGCGAGATATGTATATACATGTATATGTATGAAAAGTGTGTGTATGTATGAAAAGTGCACGCATGCGTGCGCACATATGCTTAGGGGGACAAGAGAGATAGTATAGCAGGTAAAGTGTTTGCCTTGCATGCAGCTCACCCTTCTTTCCTTCAGAGCTCTGTGCCGGGGATGGGGTACAGTGCTGGGGTATCATGTGGTGCCAAGGAGGATTGAACCTGCAAAACGTGTCTCAGAGCATGTGGAGGTATCTCTTTAGCTCAGAAAAGTATATATATATATATATATATATATATATATTTTGGTTTTTGAGCCATACTGGCAGTGCTCAGGGCTGGAGTGATAGCACAGCAGGTAGGGCATTTGCCTTGCCATGGCCGACTCGGTTCAATTCCTCCGTCCCTCTCAGAGAGCCCAGCAAGCTACTAAGAGTATCCCGCCCGCACGGCAGAGCCTGGCAAGTGGCAAGCTCCCTGTGGTGTATTTGATATGCCAAAAACAGTAACAACAGGAGACGTTACTGGTGCCCCCTCGAGCAAATCAATAACCAGGAGGACAGTGCTACAGTGCTACCGGCAGAGCTCAGGACTTACCTCTGATTCTGTGCTCAGGGATCACTCCTGGTGACTTGGGGGACATTTGAGTGCCAGAGATCAAACCAGGTTCAGTTGCTTGCAAGGCAAGTGCCCTACCCACTGTTATTGCTCAGGCCCTATGCCCCAAAAATTCTTAATAAAATTAGCATCTGTCTCAGGCACAGATCTTCCTGCCTTTCTTCCTTTCTCTCTCCCTTCCTCTCTTCTTCCCTCCCTCTCTCTCTCCTTCACTCTCTCCTCCCTTTACTCAGGGCTTATTTCTGGCTCTGTGCTCAGGGACCACTCCTAGAGGTGCTCAGGAGTGGAACCCAAGAGAAGGCTAAGTGCAAGGCAGACGTCTGAATATCAGTACTCTCTCTCCAGCCAGAGATAGGAGCTCTAAAATGAGCCAATTTTGAATGAACTGCAAAGCCTATAAACAAATTTTTGCCATTTTGGCATAAATCAGAAACCTATATGAGGGACAAGAGCGTAGTACAGCAGTTAGGAGCTTACCTTGCATGCAACAGACATGGGTTTGATCCCTGGCATCCTATAAGGTCCTCCGAGCCTGTCAGCACTTCTGGATGTGTGGCCGTGGAGAGAGAGAGAAAGCGAAGGAGGAGAGGGAGAGGTAGAAGGAGTGGGGGGAGAAGGGAGAAGAAAGGGGAAGGTGTGAGAGAGGTTTTTTTTTTAAAGGATTTTAATTTTTTTTTTTTTTATTGCTGCCTACCATTTTTTCTTTTTTTAATGTGCAAATTCTGCTGTGGGTGTGCTTGCCAGGCTGGCAGGCATGGAAAATTACAGAATGCTTTAGGGGAAACAGAATGGCCTTTTACAAATTCTGAGGTACTTGTCAGACCATGGTGCATGGACCGTTAGCCCTGTCTCCCCAACCGTTCCTATATGAGTTCAGGTGCAAGGCAGGTCGTTCTTGTCATTGTTTTGGTTTTGGCCACACTCAGCAGTACTCAGAGCCTATTCCTGGCTCTGTGCTTAGGGATCACTCCTGGCGAGGCTCGGGGACTGAACCGAGCTTGGCTGCATGCAAAGCAGGGGACAGCAGGTTTGTTGAGTCATGAAGGAACACATCCCTGCTGGGCCTCACATCCGGTGGCCACTGACTCCCCAAGGTGATTCCACCACTGTCTCCTAGGACTGTTGTATGACACGACCAGCGACGAGCAGTCACGAGACTCCTCTTGTGACTTCAGCTTGCAGTGTTCCAGATGGGAAATTGAAATTCTGGTGGTCACTGCAGTGCCTCTGCTGCCAACCTGGGGCCCGTAGACATGTTGCTTCTCGAGAAGTCAGAGCAAACCTTGCAGGATACTCAGAAAACCCCACAGCCGCCATTCTCCAGAGTGCACCCCTGTCCCAGGCTTCTCCCCGTAGCTCTCCCAGCAGTCTCCTATTTCCTCAGGGTTTTGCTGGGTATTTGACTAATCGGATCAAAGATTTGTAAGATCAAGGGCTGAAGAGGTAGCCCCTGGAGAGGAGCAGATGCCAAATAAACTTGAAACCCCCATCTTTTTTTTCCAGTTGTGCCACACCTGGTGATGTTCAGGGGTTGCTCCTGGCTCTGTTCTCAGGAATCACTCCTGGCGGTGCTCCGGGGACCATGTGGGATGCTGGGGATAGAACCCGGGTCAGCCAGGCCAGCCGTGTGCAGGGGAAGCGACCTGTCCACTGTATGATTACTGGGGCTCCCAAACCCCCAAGTTGGATCGCTGGCATCTCATGGCTCCCACAGCCTTTGTGGCCTCAGATCACCACTGGGTGTTGCTCTCGTGACCCACAGCACCTGTGTACCACCAGTCTAAGTATTATCTTGGAGTGGCTCCTGAGACCCTGGCACCTGGGAGCAGCCCCTGAAATAAAAGATTTGAAAGACAGCGTACTTAGTAGCTCACCTAATGCTGCTCACTCCAAAGTTGCTCAGCCTGTTTCACTTTCACTTTCTGTCTCTCAGAAAGCCTGTATCTTTAGGGGTGGCTTTTCACAGTTGGGGGTGGGGAGCTGCTCTGCTGGGGAGATCTTTCAAGCTAACCCTCTGGCAGCAGGTGGTCTGTGTGAACTTGACATTATGGCTTCAGTGGAAAATGAAAGATAATGGTCATATTTTTGCTGTTTGAGAATAGCTGCCTTTGTGCTGAGTGCTCTCGTTATGGCAGGTGAGAATTTGACTTCTAGCAGGTTTCTCCAAGAGATTTCTAGAGCTTCTCCAGAGGTTTGAAAATTGCGTTGAGGGTCCAGAGAGATAGTGTAGCGGGTCAGGTGCTTGTCTTGCTCATAGCCAACCTTGGCATCCCCTGAGCACCACCAAGAGTGATCCCTGCACATAGAGCCAGGAGTCAGCCCTGAACACTGCTGGGTGTGGCTCCCCTAATTTTAGCTGTTGCAGTTCAGGCTGAATCTTAGCTCCTTGGGGATCTGATCTCTCTGCAGATCGAACTTCCTGCTGTAGGACTGGCCCTGACAGACACCAGCTCTTTTTTTTTGTGGGAGAAAAGCACATAAACAGATAAAGCGAAAGGGCTCAGTTCTCTGTCATCTTGTGGGAACCAGATTCAGTTTTTGTCTTGAGAGTGAAAGCAGGGATGATAGGAGAAGATGCTGTTTGAATTTGGCCGTGAAGGGCGTGGGCAGGGGCTGTTGGTCCACAAAGCAGAGGCGTGGGAATAAGCCTCAGGACAAGCATCTAGGGCAGCAGATTGTCCGAGCATGTTAAAAACAAAAACCAAACAAGGATCAAGGAGATAGTACAGGGGTTAGGGTGCATGCTTTGCCTGTGTCATTTTGAGCCCCACCAGAGTGATCCCTGACCGAATGCCATTTTGAGCCCCACCAGAGTGATCCCTGACCGGTGAACCAGGAGTAAGCCCTCAGCACCTATGGGTATGGCTCCAAAACAAAAACAGACAACAAACAAAAACCCCTCAAAACCCCAAAAGAAAAAGAAAGAAAAATTTTTTTAAAAAATAAAAGAATACACATGCTGGTTTTGAAAATAGTGTTGGAATGCCAATACTTAAGACTCATTTTTAATTCCAGCTGCAAAGGACAAGGAAAAAAACAAAGAGAAGAAATTCAAAGAATTTGTGAGAGTGAAGCCAAAGAAGAAAAAGAAAAAGAAAAAGAAAACCAAACCTGGTAATTTTCTGAGTTTCCTCTGGGTTCCCTTAGCCTGGGGCTGGGGTGGGGGTGGGGGAGCTGCTTTCTCAAAACCCAGCTCTGTCACTGGGCCTGTGTGGGCACTTTAGGGAAGGGCCCCACTCACCCAGGCTGCACTGGCAGGTTTGCACCCCTCTTGCCTCGAGCTTGCCACCTTGGCCGACAGGCGAGCCTGTCAGCACCCAGTGCATGGCAAAGCTGTATGGCAAAGGCACCTCTGTGCATGCACGACTCTTGGCACACAGCTCTGAGCATGTTTCTGAGTTACCGTGAAGAGGCAGCTTTTGGTTTTGAGGCTCTAGGGGAGAGGTTGGAAACCTTCATCCCTAAATTTATCCATCGTACCAGTCTGCAGTTAAAATGCCCCCAGACCTTTGAGCTCTTAGGAATAGCAGAGCTCTTTTTTTTGAATTGAATATCCATGAGATAGACCATTACAAAGCTGTTCAGAATTGGGTTTCAGTCATACAATGATCCAGCACCCATCCCTCCACCAGTGTACATTTCCCACCACCAATGTCCCCTATTTCCCCACCACCATTTCCCAATTCCCCAGACCCCACCTTCAGCCTCTCTCTGTCGTGGGCACTTTCTTTCTTAGGAATAGCAGCACCTTTGGCTGGGTGGGATTGATTCTGGAATGCTCTGATAATCAGTGTCTGAGGCTGCAAATGCCATCCTCATCTGTTTTTCTGCCCTAGATTGTCCCTGCAGTGAGGAGATCAGTGACACCTCCCAGGAACCTTCCCCACCCACGACCTTTGCTGCCACCAGGTGTGCATCCACACATAAGCCTGGGACACATATGAGCCCACAGCTCCATGGCTCCGACTCCGGAAACCACAGAGGGAAGGGGAAGGTGTCGGGTAAGAAGATTCTCCGCTTGCTGGGTCCCTGGGCAGCAGGACTGTGTGAGCTGTAGTAGGGGTGTGGCTGCTGTAATCTCCCCGGGCCCTTTGCAGCCAGAAGCTGGGGGTTTTGGTGTTTATGTGTAGGGGTTTGGAATTCAGATATGTGAAACATGTGCTCTGCTATTGAGCTGCACCCTGCACCTAGATTGCTGTATTTTCCAGTTTTGGTTTGTTTTGCGGGTTTTCCTCGGAGGTGCTCAGGGCTTTCTCCTGTAACTCAGGGAGCACTTGTGGCAGCACTCAGGGCACTGTACGGAGTGCTGGGGATTGGACCCAGGTAGGCTACTTGCCAGGAAAGTGCCCTACCTGCTGGGCTATCTCTCTGATGTCAAATTATTCTTTTTTTTTTTTTTACTAGAGTCATCTCCCAGTGATGATCAGGGTGTTGTGAGGGTCAGATTGACAGTGCTCAGGCGCTGTGAGGCCCACACTTGGCATTGCTCAGAAGCCAGGTGGTATTGAGAGTGTAAGCCACATGCTTCACTCGTGTACTATCTTTTCAACCCCTGTTATTTTTTTTTAAATTAAGTATTACATCCAGTAAAACAGCTGTTAGCTGCACCATCACTGCCTCTGCAGGCTCTCTGACTTTAGACTTAGTTGATTGCCTCGTTGGTTGAGGAAATGTACCTGGGCCATTAGGAAAGAGGCTCTGTTTGGTGCATGGGGGGCTGTAGCTTCTCTGACAACAAGCTGTGGCTGAGAGCCACTACTCACATTGCTCCTTGCTTGTTGTGTTATAAGGAAGTAGGGGGCCCTGCACTGTCGGGCAGGTTCTCTTAGGTGGTACTTGGTGGCACCCCAGGAGGAGATGGGCCCTATTTCCCCACTCTGTGATGGATCACAGAAGCATGGAGCCATGAGGTCTGTTCCACTCTCCACCATCTAGAGTTGAGGGGCAGGGAATAGTCGAGCCCATTCCTAGCCTGGAGCGATAGCACAGCGGTAGGGCGTTTGCCTTGCACGCAGCCAACATGGCCGACCTGAATTCGATTCCTCCGCCCCTCTCGGAGAGCCCGGCAAGCTACCGAGAGTATCTTGCCCGCACGGCAGAGCCTGGCAAGCTCCCCGTGACGTATTTGATATGCCAGACACAGTAACAACAAAGTCTCCAATGGAGACGTTACTGGGCCCGCTCGAGCAAATCGACGAACAACGGGAGGGCCTTTACCTTTTACCTTTATTCCTAGCCTGAACTACCTGGGCATGACAGGTGCATCAGTGAAGGCATCCAAGTAGTGCTGGCTGTGGCCTGGAGGTCTGGTGATCCGGGTAGTTCCTGCCTCTGCAGGGCCAGAACAGCACTACATCCTGGGGCCCCCTGCAGTAGAACCATTGGCTCAGGTGACTGCAAATTGCTGAGGGGGCCCTGGGCTACCTGACTATTGGGAGGCCCCCAAGTAAACAAGATTAATATTTTTGATGATGATTTCTAATGGTGACTCTTGTTTCTCCTTTCCTCTCAGAGGAGGATAATCTGAGCATGTCTTCTTCTGAAAGCTTTCTCTGGAGTGATGAGGAGTATGGCCCAGACATTGATGTAACCACCAATCCGGATGAGGAACTGGATGCAGACGAGCGCTACGATTTTGAAGTGGTGCGTTGCATCTGCGAGATCCAGGAAGAAAATGACTTCATGATTCAGGTGGGTGCGGCTTCCAGGACACAGGGCTAGGGAAGTGCATAAGAGTCCCAGGAGGGGCTTTTCAGGGATTACACTTTGAGGCCAGCAGAAAAGCAAGTCCTTGGAGATGCCTTGAAAGGTGGCCGTTGGCAGAGGCAGACAGAGTGTTGCCTCTGCTTCTGCCACTTCCAAATTGCAGACTGGTGTGAGCAGCCCGTAGTCAGAATGGGACAGGGCTGGAGGGACAGTTGTGTGTATCACTCCTACTGTTCGGGGCATGGGGGCCAGCGATAGGCAGTAAGGAGAGGGATGCCAGGGCCACAGGTGCCACTTTAATCTCTGGCTCCAGGGCTCCTCATGGAGGTACATTTCCTTTTCCTTTTCTTCTAGTTCTTAGATTCCACTCTAAGGTACTTGGGAGCTCCTCCCAGTTCTGCTCAGGGCATTATATGATGCTGGAGATCGAATCTGGGCCTCCTACATACAACATGTGCTCTAAGCTCATTAACTATCTTGAAGGGAAGTTTTCTTCAGAGCCTAAAGGATTCGTTTCAGCTTGCTCTTCACGGCTATGTTCTCCATGGAACATATAGCTCACTTGTCTCTTCTTGTCTCTCAGCCTGTGTTTTCTACTCTGGGGACACTCGCATTCTCTCTTGAATACTCACTTCCGCTCTCTTTCCCTTCACATCTTTTTAAGTTTCATTCAGTAAAGCTACCTTTGCTTGAGGTTAGAATCCATCAACATGTATCTTGTTTGCTTCTCTCTATGTTTAAAGAGACAAGCAGGAGACTTGCTTATCTCCACTCTGGAGGAGCGTGTTCTCTCTCTCTCTCTCTCTCTCTCTCTCTCTCTCTCTCACACACACACACACACACACACACACACGTGCTACCTTGTTTCACTTAAAAAAAAATAAACTGTTTCTTATTCTTTATTTCTCTGCCTTTGTGCACTGTCACCACTGTATAATTCTCACACTTTGTTTTTGCATAATACTAGCATGATTTATTATTTTGATATTATTATATAATACCAAAAAAGAGTTCACATAATCATTGCATTCCACTTTGTTGCGAAAACTTTTGGCATAAAATTTACAATGATTTTACCCACAGTACCTTCTGGCCCAATATGAACTTTTTATATTTTGTATTAGAAGTGGGAATGTGAAAAATTGCAAATATTTGTACCTACTTTAAGGTTCAATTCCTCCGTCCCTCTCAGAGAGCTACCAAGAGTATCCCGCCGCACGGCAGAGCCTGGCAAGCTCCCTGTGGCATATTCCACACGCGAAAAACAGTAACAAGAAGTCTCACAATGGAGAAGTTACTGGTGTCCGCTTGAGCAAATCAATGAATGGGAGAACAGTGCTACAGTGCAGTGCTACTTTATTATTTTCTGTCCATTGACTTGTTTTATAGATTTTTTTTGGTTTGTTTTTATAAGGTTAAATAATCAAATGTTAATCACTTGAATCACTTAAGTTGTAACAGTTGCTCCTTAACTGAAAGTTTGTAAACATTTATTTAAAAAAAAAAGTTGTGCAAGTAGTTTATGGTAGTTTCCTCTAGTACTTTTATTTTTTTTGCTTTTTGGGTCACACCCAGTGATGCACAAGGGGTTACTCCTGGTTCATGCACTCAGGAATTACTCTGGAGGTGCTCGGGGGGCCATATGGGATACTGGGAATTGAACCCGAACCCAGGTCAGCCACGTGCAAGGCAAACGCCCCACCCCCTGTGCTATTGCTCCAGCCACTCCTCTAGTACTTTTGAAGTTTTTATTATATTTTTAAACCATGTGAATGCTACATCTACCTGGAATTTACCCTTGTTTATGGCGAGGGCTAAGACTATTCAACTTATACTATGCTCCATACTTCCTTGGAAATGCCACCTTTCCATATGCTATTTTGATATGATTTGCTTGTTATATTCTCTTTTCCATTGAGCCATGCATATACTTTTTTGTTTTATTTTATGTTGGGTTCACACCTGGTGGTGCCCAGGGCTTATTCTTGGCTCTGGACTCAGGGATCACTCCTTGTGGGACTGGGGATTATAGCTGGTGCTGGGGACTAAACCTGGTTTAGCTGCGTGCAAGGTAAGCACCCTACCTGCTGTACTGTGTCTTCTGCCTGAGCTACATAGCTATATAGCTAGATAGATATAGATATATTTGTCCTTTTATAATTCCAATTATTATACTTTTCTTTCTGTTCTTTTTTCTGGGGGTGGTTCCCTGCTGGCATTGTGCAGGGGTCTGGCCATATAGTGCTGGATTGAACATGTGTTCCCTCTGCAGGGTGAGTGCACTCTCCCTTTAATCTAGTTTCATGGCCCCTTTTATTAGTTTTTTGACAGATTTTTTGGTTATATTTTTATTTTTTAATTTTTAGTTTGGGGTTTATATTTTTAGATTTAGCTTCTATCTTTAGTGATGAATCTATTCTTTTATTGGTACTGCATTTATTTATTATGTTTATGTTTGCAGTGCTGGGGATCAAACCCCGGACCTCGAATATTCAAGGCAAGTTCTGTAATGATGTAACTCCCAGCTCCTTAGTGTGTTCTTTGTTTCTGGGTCACACCCAGTGGTGCTCAGGTTTTACTTCTGACCCTGTACTCAGATCACTCCTGGTAGGCTTTGGGGACCATATTGGGTGTCAGAATTTGAACCCAGGCCGGGCTACATGCAAGGCAAATGCCCTGCCCATTTATCGTGCTATTGTTCCAGCCCAGTGTATTTATTTTTAACCCAAAGAGAATTACATCTTTCTGATGATGTCTCTTGCTGTCCAGAAACAGGATACCCTTTACCCCTGATTAAAGTTTCCCTGTGCTTCAAATGACATTTAAAGTTTTTCTTCAGAGAGATTCTGCATGTTCTATTTCTAGATATTCTTAATTTTATCCTAAAACAGTCTTAGAGTTCATCAGTCTTTTTCATTATTATTTTAATTTATTTATGGTTTTGTTTTGGGGCCACACCCAGTGGTGCTCAGGATTTAGTCCTGACTGTGCTCAGGAATCACTTTTTTTTTTCCCCTCACTTTTTGGGTCACACCTGGCGATGCACAGGGGTTACTCCTGGCTCATGCACTCGGGAATTACTCCTGGTGGTGCTCAGGGGACCATATGGGATGCTGGGAATTGAACCCAGGTCGGTCGCATGCAAGGCAAACCTGCTGTGCTGTCCCTCCAGCCCCTTAGGAATCATTCCTGGTGGATCTGGGGGACCATGTGAGGTACCAGATTTGCCTCATGCAAGGCAAGCGCCTCAGCCCCTATAGTGTCACTTATCTCTCTCGTTTACTTTAAAATTTAAATTTTTAAATATTAGTAATGTACTTTCATTAAAAATTATTTTGAATTTTTTAGAGTAAGTTGTATTTGAATCGATTTTGCTGTATCTTAGTTCTTAAGACATAATGTTATGGGTGAGACTGATTTGTCTCTTACTGTTGTTAAGTGGCCATGGGTCCGAGCTCAGCTGCCAGCTGGGACACACAGAGACAGGATAGAATTTTCAAGGCTTTATTCACACACCAGAACACAATCATAAAAGGGACTCCACACTGAGGGCTCTCATACAAGGGATTCCGTGCTGAGGGTTCACAAGCCTAAGGGACTTGGAACCCCAGTTGCCCTCCTCGAGAGGCTCTTAAGCCCTATTGCCCTCCTGCTACGTGCCTTGTCCACCCCTGCCTGTCTGGGTGCCCCCTGCCAGGTGCATTCTCACAGCCCTGAGCCAGTAAGCAGAGGGTACAGAAGTGAAATGGAGCGGTTAACACATCTTTTTACTCACTTGAGTCATCCTTGTTATCTGTGGTCAGATTTCTGGGCATTTATGTTTATGCCCTTGGAGTCTGGAATGTTTTCTTACTAGATTGTAAGCTCATGACCCTAAGGCGCAAAATGGAGTCTGGCTTTCCAAAATGGAGGCGCTGTGGTCCTGTTTCTCTCGGTTATGTCCTTTCAACTATTATTTTCTTTTCTTCTGCTAACCGTCTTTGTTGCTCTGTACCCTCTACCTCCACCTGAGTTTCCTCATCTGTGAAGTCCAGGTTCGAGATTCATCTTACCCTGTAGCCTCCTGTTCTGCTTTGTGTGCTCCTGGTGATTCTGGTTGTAATTGGCTTCCTGGGATTTATTTGTGCCCACGATGTCCTGTTGATGTTGGGTCCTCACTGACCCCAAGAGGCTGAGGACCGTCTGAGGTCTGGACTTGCTACCCTTGTTCTGGATTGGTCGCTCCTCTGCAGACCTTGTCTGAGCTCATTATCCATAGTCCAGGGCCATCCATCTGCGCAGGTAGTTCATTGCTCAGGGCCATGGTTGGGAACTCCTGGGAATGTCCCTATCTCGGCTTTGGCATCTGCTTTTCCTCTCCGTACCCTCTGCGGCCCTCTTGGCCCTTTGGCTCACTCTCCTGAGGTCCTTCCACCGCCCCCAGAGCTCCCTTCATTGTCTGCTCCTTCCTTTCCCCCACTCCTCTTCCCCTTCTCTCTTCAGCTTGTGGAAACTAGAAGCTTTAAGAACTGGATTTTTTTGAGAGATAGTTCAGGAGGTCAGGTGCTTGTCTTGTACCCCACAAACCTCCTTTCGATCCCTGGCATCACCACATGCCACACAAAATTAGGTTTGCCATCAGCCAAATTTGGGTTCTTGGCTTCTGACCCTAGCTCTGTCTGACTTCAGCTATGTTTCTCAGCCATTGCCCATGGGGAAGTCCAGGGAGACCTCAATGGAAAATGGCACAAGTGGAGCACCACAACGTAAAACTCGGGGGTCAAGGAAGGATTTCAGGCTGGAAGGGGACCACTGTTCAGAAAGGCTGGGAAGTTAGTGTGGCCTGCCACACACAGCCACTCCAGGAGGCACTGAAGTGACTCGCTTGACCACTCCCAGATACAACAAGCTTTTAATATAGAAAGCTTTGCCTTGGGCCCTGGCATGGGATGGAGCCTTTGGTACATGACCCATTGTTTTCCCCAAACAGCCCCCAAAGGCAGATAGGAAAAGTATTTCATTTTGCATATGGGAAAACAGGTCCAGGGAGAAGTGGCCTTTGCAAGTCCCACAGCTGAGCCAGGACCCGGACTCAGGTGTGTGTCAGTCCAGCTAGCTTGGCTCTGAGGACTTGAGCAAGTCTTTCTCCTTAAAATCTAATCAGGAAGATGAAAGCCTTTAGAAATGGGAGTGAAAGCAGGCTTTTTTTATTTTTCTTTTCCTGAGGCAGTGGGGGAGTACTACTTTTGTGTTTTCTGGTTTTGGGCCTTCACTCAGCTGTGTGCTCAGGGGCTACTCCTGGCTCTGTATTCACGAATCATACCTGGCAAGCTTGGGAGACCACATGGGGTTCCAGGAATCTCACCCAGGTCTGCCATGTGCAGGGCAAGTGCTCTACCCACTGTACACTCACTCCGGTCCCTCAAAATGCACTGTTAATTTAGCAGTTTATCCGGGCTTTCCAGTCCAGTGGCCACTGTCCTCATTAGCTAAAGCACTTAACCTGTGGTTAGTGGGACCACTTTTTTTGTTGTTGTTGTTTTGGGGTCAAGCTCAGGGGCTATTGCATGTTTGGTTCTGGAGGGACCGTGCAGTTTTGGAGAACAATGCATGTGCACAGCTCATTCAGCTAGCCCAGCCCTCATTTTAAAATTTAATTTTATTTTTTGTATGGTTTGGGGCCACACTTGATGGTGCTCAGGACCACTTCCACCTCTGCGCTTGAGGGACTTCACAGTGCTGACTGTCAAACCCAGGCCTTCTATATACAAAACACATGCTCAGCCCATTGAACCATCTTGCCAGCCCGTGGGTAGGATCTGAGCTTTAACTTGAGGGTTAAACGTGGAGGAGACCCATGGCTGGAATATTGGGCAGTGCAGGTTTCCTGGGAGGTTCCTCTCAGCTCCCCCAGAAGTGGGCTCTTTCCCTCCCTTCCCTCCCGCGACCTGCTTCCCTGCACACATAGGTCTTAGATTTGGATTCTGGATAACTCCTGAGTTTAATTTTCTTGCTGCTTTCATTCTCACAGTGTGAAGAGTGCCAGTGCTGGCAGCATGGGGTCTGCATGGGATTACTGGAAGAAAATGTGCCTGAGAAATACACCTGCTATATTTGCCAAGACCCTCCAGGTAGAGATTTCTGGAGTCAGTGATATGCACAGTGTGTAGCCTTTCCTTAGACAGCTGGCCAGACGCAGCAGGAGCCTGCGCCATGTGAGATGCCCTTCCTGAGCGCCAGCCCGACTCCTGCTCCCTCCCCCGCTGCTGCTGCTGTGTGAAGAGCTTCACTGTGTGAAGAGATTCTCAGCCGTTGCCTACCTGCACACTGCCTCGGGCCCATGGGCTGACAGTGGAAGACTACTGGCCTACTGGAATTTTCCCTTCGTTGGTGCTGAAAATCTGATAATAGGAAATCTACCCTCTTAAGTCTTTAGGTTTACAGTACAGCACTGTTAACTATATGCACACTGTCCTATATACCACAGGTTTTTAAATGTCATCATATTGCAAGACAGATTTTATAAAAACTACAGAATGTTTTGCAGATTTGGGTGTCAGGCTGTATAGAGGCCCTGCTAATGATCTTAGGTCCTGTTTTAGAAAGTGTTTTCTTTTTCTTTTAGAGTTCCTGAGCAATAGTACAATGGGTAGGGCATTGTCCCCGGCATCCCATATGGTCCCCTGAGCACTACCAGGAGTAATTCCTGAGTGCAGAGCCAGGATGACCCCTGAGAATATATATGGATTGCTCAGGGGTCACATATATGTGTATACACTCACACACACAAATATATATATATATATCTCCTCACCAGGCTGTTTTCACTCGGGGTGCCCCAGAGGGAGGCAGGTGAGAGCCCTCCCCACCCCAAGGGACCCAGCCCCGGCAGCCAGCCTCCAACCTCCACTACCCAACCACCGCCACGCTCCAGGCCACTTTCCACACGGTCAGGCCGAGCCTCACATATGAGTGAACATATTCCTGGACACATCATAAGACACTCCCTACCCATTTTCCATAATTACCACACCATATATGATAGAAAATACACACACACACACACACACACACACACACACACACACACACACACTTCTTGGAGAGCCTGGCAAGCTACCGAGAGTATCCCTCCCACATGGCAGACTGGCACGCTCCCCATGGCATATTTGATATGCCAAAAACAGTAATACGGGCTGGAGCAATAGCACAGCGGGTAAGGCGCTTGCCTTGCACGTGGCTGACCCGGGTTCGATTCCCAGCATCCCATATGGTCCCCTGAGCACCGCCAGGAGTAATTCCTGAGTGCAGAGCCAGGTGTGACCAAAAAGCAAAAAAAAAAAAAAAAAAAACCACAGTAATAATAATAATGGGTCTCATTCCCCTAACCCTGAAAGAGCCTCCAATATGTTGGGAAAGATGAGTAAAGAGAGGCTGCTAAAATGTCAGGGCTGGGATGAATGGAGACGTTACTGACGCCTGCTCAAGTAAATCGAAGAACAATGGGATAACAGTGATACAGTGATATATATATATATATATATATATATATATATATATATATATATATTTCTGATGGGCCTGTGGGCTCAGCCCTTGACTTTCCAGAGCTGTTGCAGGATTTGAAAACTGCCTTCTCCCCCTAGTGGCATCTCTCCCTCATTGCTCCATTGCCTGTGGGGAGAAAAAGGAAAGGTTGGGTTTTGTGGATCCTGTCTGCCTGCCAGAACAGTGAACCGGTACCTTAGTGGGATCAGTTGGGAGGTTCACTGTCACATTGCAGGCTAGCTCCTCTTTTGAGTGCCCCTTTCCAGAAATCTCACATGGATTCTATTTGTTCTTGCTGTCAATGGGGTCTTTCCATGTCTTTCTTCATTCCTATAGATTTCTCTCTTGGGTTTCAGCACTGTGATCCCCTTAGTGCTAGGTATTCCATGAGAGCCTCGCTTTTATTACCTTTTATTCCTGTGAGGTGAGCCTGGTAGGAATGTAGGAATGTCCCTTTTTTTTTTCCTCTGAGAAAGAAATTGATGCTCAGTGTATCAGTGGCTTTCCTAACCTCATAATGCAAACTGGATAGATTTTCTTTTCTATTCTTTTCTTTTTTGCACCACACCCAGCATCGCTTAGAGCTTACTCCTGGCTTTGTGCTCAGGGATTGAACCCAGGTCAGTTGCTTGCAAGCACATGTTACTCTACCATCTCTCTAACTCTCATAAAGCAAATTGGAAGGAGAACTCACTTATGGAGTCAAATCTCTTGATAATACTGGCAGTCTAGGGAAGAACTGGTCGCCACAATCTATTTCCAATAAGTAGGTTCCCCATGTAGCCTGAAACCTCTGTTGTGACGCATGTCACTTGTAGATGAGTCCATAGGTAGAGAGGAATCTAATTGTCATAAGGAAAGAATGTTGGAAGATTAGTCCGTGAGTCATAGAATAGTCTGGAGTGGCAGGATCTCAGAGACGAGTTAGCACAGCCCCAGCATTTGATAAATACAGGTGTAGCATTCTCAGATCAGCCTGCCAAGTAGTGTTAAGAATTAGTGTTTCTGACTTGTTTTGTTTTGGTCTGGAACCACACCTGGCAAAAATCAGGTGTTCATCCTGGCTCTGTGCTCAGGAATTATTCCTGGTGGTGCTTGGAGGACTATATGGGATGCCAGGGATTGAACCCTGTCAGCTGCATGCAAGGCAAACACCATCACTCAGGGCCCCATCTCTGGCCTTTGTTTTGTAAAACAAGGGGCACTCTGGATCTCTTCCAGGCCCCTCCTGCCAGCGCCTTCCAGCACACACCAGTGTGTGATCCCCAGGGCTCCTCAGGGCTTTGTCTTGCTGCTCCCTCTAGTTCTCTCTTCATAGATATCAAGCAAATCTCTCTCATCAATTCCTATGCACTTTCTGAACATTTATAACCAATTTCCAATATTGAATAGCTTTCTCCTTAATTAAATACTCATCATCACTTTTCAAGACTGTTTTTCTCTGCAGCATCTTGGCCCAAAAGTTTAACTAACAGATGTTACTTTTAGGGGCCAGAGTGATATAGAGTGCTAGGGCACATGCCTTACACACAGCCAACTTTGGTCCCCTTCCTGGCACCTGTTATCATTCCCTAAGTCCTGCCAGGCGTGATCTCTGAGTGCCGGGAGTGAGTCCTAAGCACAGCCAAGTATGGCCCCAAAACAGACAATAAAATAATACAGTTAAGATAAACTTTAAGGTAGCTTTGTTGTTGTTGTTGTTTGTTTGTTTTTGGGCCACAGGGAGCATTCCTGGTTTCCTTTGGGGCCATTGGGATTCTGGGATGAAATCCTTATTGGTATCTTACAAGGCATGTGCCTTACCTGCTATACTATCTCTATCTCTCTGCCCCCTACCCCAACCAAAATTACTTCTTATTAAGATACCATGATTTACAAAGTTATTTATAGTATAGTTCCAGGTATACAATGTTCTGACACCAATCCTACCACCAGTAGCAATTCAGCCCCCCTCCACCCTCAAGGTGTCTTTAACAAAATCAAGACTTATATGTGATTTTGTAAAGCCAGAAGAACAGTCTGATTAGGGATTCTTTGGGTTGTGTTAGGTTTTTAAAAAAGCAGAGAAAGCTGTTCACTGGTCTTGGAGAGCAGAAAACCCAGGCAGGTCTCGTGCCTGTGTGTTCCAGCTCTCCTCATAGGTCCTTGTAATGATCAAGGCCTCTGAGGTCTTTGACTCGTCTGTCATTGTAATAGAGCCCGAGAAGGAAAGGATCAGTTCATGTGTCTAGTTAGGGGGTCGGTTGGTGGTAGTTGGAGGGTAACTTGTAGCTTTATCCCCACTTTTGATGAATCTCAAGACCTCAAGGACTGGCAATGTGGCTTAGGAGTAAAACAGTTGCCATGCACGTGAAAGGTCCTGGGTTCAACCCCTGATGCCTCAACAAAATAAAAGAAACCCATCTCCAAACTCTTTTTACTAGACAGTGATAATCAACCCTCAACAAAAGGACTCCTTCTCTTTTTGATTTTTAATGGGGTTAGGGCCAGAAAAGTTGCCAAAATAGGTTCAAGAACTTCATTTTTTCTTCCTGCAAAGTCATCGAATAGGAGACAGGAGATGCTACTTGAATTTAAAGAGATAATTTAAAGCTATTCCTGCTTCATGTTGGAGATGAGGGACTTTCCATACCCTGCAGCCCTTCTGTATTCCAAACACCAAGTAGAGAAACCAGCCTATTGTGGGTGCCAGGTCAATGGCGATTGGACAGATGAATACATTCCATTCGTTTATGGGTGTGAGGGATTATTGTGCAGCGGTGAAACCGTCCGTTTCCCTTCAGACCATGTATTCTCAACCCTCTCCTGTCTCTGCATTAGGTCAGAGACCCGGCTTCAAGTACTGGTATGACAAGGAGTGGTTGAGCAGGGGCCATATGCACGGCTTGGCGTTTTTAGAAGAGAACTACTCCCACCAGAATGCCAAGAAGATTGTAGCCACCCACCAGCTTCTCGGCGATGTGCAGAGAGTGATCGAGGTCCTGCATGGCCTGCAGCTCAAGATGAGCATCTTGCAGTAAGTGTGGCCCCTGCAGCTCTGGAGCAGGCCTGACTTCCGCACAATCTGGGGCAGAGGAAGTGAAGCCGGGGCTGTGTGCCCCGCTCACACTCAATAGGGGGGCAGAGGTGGGTGGCTCGATACAGGGCTTGGGGCAGCGGAGAGGAGGTAGAGCTATCATTGGTTGGTTGGTTGGTTTTGTTTTGGGGCCACACCTGGCAGTAATCAGGACTTACGCCTGTCTCTGTGCCCCGGGAACGCTCCTGGTGGGGTTCATGGGACTGTATATGGTTCCATGGGATTCAAACTTAGGTCAGCCACGTGCAGAGCAAGCACCTATGCTATCGGTGCAACCTCACCCCTGCCTGCTCCAGTGCCAGACCAGCTCTCATTGGTTTTCCTGCTGAGGTGAACCAAATCAAGTGTCAGCCATGGATCAGAGGGTGTCAGAGACTGTTCCTTAGATTTTTTGTAAAATTGGAAAATTTAACCCAGTATTGTCCAAATAAATCTCTTTAATAAAATGTCAGAAAGCTAGATGGGAAGGAAGTGGTCCTTGAGAAAAACTTCAGTGGATGCTCCTTCTGGTAAAGTTGGCTACATTTATCTTTTGTGGATTCTGTTAGGTGATGTTGTGTTTCTTTAGATCTTTCATCTTCTAAATTGTGTGTGTGTGTGTGTGTGTGTGTGTGCGCGCACGCACGCGCACACACATGCGCACTTAGTGACTACTCCGGGCTCTGTGCTTGAATGTTGTTCCCAGTGATGTTCATGGGACAATGCAGTGCTGAGAATTGAGCCTGGGTCTCCCACATGAGAAATATCTTTCTTGCTCCTAGATCGTTCATCTTTATGTTTCTTTATGTTTCTCAGGGGAACACAGAGGTAGGGACGGCTGAGTGACTGCACCCAGCTTGGGACAGCCACGGGGTAAAGGTCCCACAGCCACCTGCAGTCCTACCTGTCTGTGCCCGCACAAATGGCCCATTTTCGTGGCCTCTTGCTTGGCAAACAGTTTGTAGCCAGATGCCCAGAGTGGAGCCGTTCTCCCTAGTGAACAGATCACATTACATAGCTTGTATTATAATTAATTGTAACAAAAAGACACAGAAGGCCTGGGAGATAGCTCAAAGAGTTGATGCACAGGTTTTACATGTGAAAGGTCAGATTCAGTCCCCAGCATTGGGTCCGCCAAGCAAAACTGAAACAACTCCAGAGCAGTGAGCAGAGAGTAGCCTCAGCACCACCAGGCGTGAGCCCCAAAAGAAAAAGAACAGACAACAAAAAACCGGAAACACAGGATAGAAACTATCAGAGCTCCACTCTAAGAGTAGTTGTCTGTGAAGTTAGTTTTAGTTTCATAAATGGAAGTGATATAAAATGTATTTCTTACTGTGAATGAAATACATATATTTAGAAGTCACTACTTTAGATAAAGTTCACCTTTCAACTCTCTCTCCTCACCATCCATAACTTCCCTTATAACCGATGCTCATCAAACAGAAGGGGAGAGGGGGTTGGAGCCATAGTACAGCAGGGAAGGTGGCAGCCTTGCATGTGGCTGACCAGATTCGATCCCTGGCATCACACATAGTTCCCCAAGCCCGCCAGTGAGGAGTAAACCATGAGTACTGCTGAGTGAGTATCCCTGAGTGAGGAGTAAACCATGAGTACTGCTGGTTTGGCGCCAAGATGAAAGAGGGAGGGAATGAGGGAAGGAAACAGGGAAGGAAGGAAGGGAGGGAGGGAGAGAGGATGGAGCTGAAGGAACCAGTGGGTTTGTGTATGGTCATTGGTGACCAAAGCTCAAAGCTGGGCAGGCAGTGCCCTCCAAGGCTTTCTGGAAGCATTCCAAGACAGCTGCGAGGCACATTAGTTCACTGAGATGTTTAGAGATGCCAGAGGCCTTTTCAATCATCACCAGGTATGGGACCCAAAAGAAAGAAGAACAAAAGAAGAAGTGTGTGTGCTGGGGGCGGTGGGGCTTGCGGAGTCCCCGCAGTGGTTCCACAGCCTCTTCCTGTTGCGTTCCCAACAGGAGCAGAGAACATCCCGATCTGCAGTTCTGGTGCCAGCCTTGGAAACAGAACTCAGGGGAGGTGTGCTCTCACTCAAAGCACCTCCACGGCCTGGAAGCCAAGTGCCCGGAGGAGGCCCCGAGCTATCGGACTTTGAACGGAGGGCTGGCGGAGAAGCCCCTGGGCCTGGCCCTGCCACGCTCCGTGGAGGAGTCGTACATCACCAGTGAGCACTGCTACCAGAAGCCGCGCGCCTACTACCCCGCTGTGGAGCAGAAGCTGGTGGTGGAGACCCGGGGTGCGTCCCTGGACCAGGCGGTTAGCCCCCTCCATGAGAATGGGGACGACTCCCTCTCCCCACGCCTCGGCTGGCCTCTTGACCAAGACCGGACTCGAGGGGACAGCGAGTCCAAACCCGGCTCTCCCAAGGTAGGCGGCTCTCTCGTGCCTCACGCAGTGCTCCTAGCTGCTCCTCCTGGGGGCTGGCGGCCTGTGGGAGATAGCTACTAAAGCCACATGGATTTAAGTTTGTTTATCAGAGTTTTTCTTAGTGCTAACGTGGGTGTAAAGCCAGGCAAGCCCCTTGTAAACAAAGATTATTGGTTCTAGGAAACACCCACAAAATAACAATCAATATGGTTGGGAGGGGTTGGAGCGATAGCACAGTGGTAGGGCATTTGCCTTGTACGCAGCCAACATGGCCGACCCGAGTTCGATTCCTCCGCCCCTCTCGGAGAGTCCGGCAAGCTACCGAGAGTATCTTGCCCGCATGGCAAAGCCTGGCAAGCTCCCCATGACGTATTCGATATACCAAACACAGTAACAACAAAGTCTCCAATGGAGACGTTACTGGGCCCGCTCGAGCAAATCGAACCGATGAACGGAGGACAGTGATGGTTGGGAGGAGAAAGGAGTAGCCAGGACTGTTGGTTGCTGCTTAACCAGCAGAAAGACCTGAGGTGGAGAGAGAGCACAGCGGATAGGACGCTTGCTGGGTGTGGACCCCAAACAATAACAACTTAGGGCTGAGGCGATAGCACAGCAGATAGGGTGTTTGCCTTGCATGCGGCCAATCCAGGTTCGATTCCCAGCATCCCATGGTCCCCTGAGCAGTGCCCAGAGTAATTCCTGAGTGCAGAGCCAGGAGTGACCCCTGAGCATCGCCAGGTGTGACCCAAAAAGAAAAAAGTAACAACCAAAAAGAAAAGTGGAACTGAGTTAGGAAAATGAATTTTTCCTTGAATTTTATAATTGTCCCTTGGTCCTTGTTAACCTGAGGCAAGAATGTGGCTTTATTCCGACTCTCCAATTCCCCGTCCTGATTGGACAACAGCCCTTCATTGCCCAGTGCTCGCTACCCTTAGGGGGTTATTATTCAGGCCACTGCCTTATGGAGCCCCCTTATGCCATTCTCCTTGCCTCGGTGTCTCCTGCTAGTCCTCAGTTATCGTTGAGGCGCCATGAGATTCAAGAACTCCACCCTTGTTCTTCCTTTTCCCATGGAACATACCCTGTGGGTTGTTGGTGGCAGCATTATGATTGTATTACATTACATTGCTTCCTGATGCACAGAGGGAGCCTCTGAAATAGAAGCCCCGTGGCCTGTAGCTCGTCCATACAGTGCTGAGCGAGACTGGGAATGACAGATCCAATTTCTAGACAGACACAGCCACCTGCTGTATAATGTCTTTGTTTTGTTTTTGTGTGCCAACCCCCAGAAGTGCTCACAACTTTCTCTTGACTTTGCTCAAGAGTTACTCCTAGCAGTGGTCAAGGAACCATCTGCAGTGCTGGGGAATAAACTGGGTCAGCTACTGGGTCTTTTCGAGACGAAACACTGTGCCCGTGTAGTGTTCTCTGAGCAGGTGACTTCTCCTCCTGGAAGTGCTCCTCCCCACTTCTCGACAGTGGTTGTGTCCAGTTCAGCCAAGTGACCGTGCAGTGTGCTGCGGAGGCTCTCAGCACATTGCCTTGCACGTAGTCCTAAATAAATATTAGCTTGAATCAGTTTGTTTTAGGGGCCATACGTGGCAGTGCTCAGAGCTTACTTTTAGCTCTCTGCTCAGGGGGTCTCTCTTGGCATAGCATAAGGGGCTATATGGGGTGCGGGAGTGGAACCCAGGTCTGCTGTGAGCAAGGCAAGTATCCTCAGCGTTGCACTGTCTGTGGCCCTAGAATCGGTTTCATTTCAGCTGCGTGAAAGGTGGAGGTCACAGGCCCAGGAAAGGGTTACGACCTTACTGCGAGGTCAGCCACCTAATAGTGCATCTGGCCATTAACAGAAAACCAGGAAACTGAAAACCAGGCCAGGCAGCCAGAGTAAAGATGCCCTTTCATCAATGGCAAGCTGGCTAAGCTGGCTCGGTGTGTTCCTGTCAACCTTACATTTTTTCATCCTCAGCAACCTCTCAGGGTTGAGGAGGGGCCAGAGAGATAGTGCAGGAGGTAAGGCATTTGCCTTGCCAGAGGCCAACCCAGGTTCAGTCCCCAGCACCACATAATGATCTGAACACTCCCAGGAGTCACTCCTGAGCACAGAGCCAGGAACAGCCACCGAGTACTACTAGGGGTGCCCCCCCACCCCCAAGCCCAAGGTAAGAAAAGTAAATGAATAAAGTAAGGACCAGAGAAACAATAGCTCAAGGGGTGAAGGCATGTCATGGACTGGGGGGGGGGGGGGGGGAGGGCCTGAGGGTTCGGTCCTCAGCATCTCATGGTCTCCACGGCACTGTCAGGAGCAATCCTCAGTACCATTCCACATGGTCCCAAACCAGGGAAGAGTATAAAGGATCTTTAAAGTAGATTTACTGGAGGCTGGTGCAGTAGTACACCAGGAAAGGCCTTGTTCCTGGCTGACCCAGGTTCGATCCCCGGTACCCCATATGGTCCCCTGAGCCCCATCAGGACTGATCCCTGAGGTCAGAGCCAGGAGTGAGCCCTGAGCACCACTGGGTATGACCCATCATTCCACATGGTCCCAAACCAGGGAAGAGTATAAAGGATCTTTAAAGTAGATTTACTGGAGGCTGGTGCAGTAGTACACCAGGAAAGGCCTTGTTCCTGGCTGACCCAGGTTCGATCCCCGGTACCCCATATGGTCCCCTGAGCCCCATCAGGATTGATCCCTGAGGTCAGAGCCAGGAGTGAGCCCTGAGCACCACTGGGTATGACCCATAAACAAAGCAAAATAAAAATTAACTTGGGCCAGAGCAGATAGGGCACTTACCTTATGCTCAACCGACCCAGGTTCAATCCTCGGCACCCTGTATGATCACCTGAACACCACCACCAGTTGTGGCCCAAGGATCGAAAAAATAATACTAGGGGCCAGAGTCTAGTAGCACTGCACTGTAGCACTGTCCTCCCATTGTTCATCAATTTGCTCGAGCGGGCCCAGTAATGTCTCACAATAAATTGTGAGACTTGTTGTTACTGTTTTTGGCATACTGAATACATCACGGGGAGCTTGCCAGGCTTTGCTGTGCAGGTGAGATACTCTTGGTAGCTTGCCGGGCTCTCTGAGAGGGGTGGAGGAATCGAACCTGGCCTGGCCGGGCCGGCTGCACACAAGGCAAATGCTCTACTGTTGTGCTATCGCTCAAGCCCCCAGCCCCCAGAGTCTAGTATTATTTATAATACTAGTGGCCAGAGACTGTAGCAGGGAGGGTTTTTACCTTGCATGCAACCAACTAGGGTTCAATCCCTGGCATCCCATATAGTTCCCTGAGCACTGCCAGGAGTAGTTCCTGAATGCAGAGCTAGGAGTAACCCCCGAACATCATAAGGTATGACCCAAAAAAAGCCCCCCTCAAAAAAAAAAACCACCTTTTTACTGTCTCTCTGGCCCACATTTAGCAAGATTGAAGCATTTTCTCCAGCCCACATTTAGCAAGATTGAAGAATTTTGAGCTAATGTTTAAAACTAGTTTGGGGACTAAGGAGATAGCTCAAAATGGTATGCCTAGCATATGTGCAGATCAGAGTTTGACACCTGGCACTACATAAACATATTAAGTCCCTCCCCCAAGCACTATCAAGTATGTACAACGCTAATGCCCCTCAGCACTACTGTGTGTGCCCTAGTGCCCCCAAGCACTGTATTCCCATCTCGAGCCTGGAACTCTTCTGCCTCTATTGCCAGGCCAGGCATCACTGGGTGTGGCCCCTGCCCAAAATAACTCATTTGTGTAACTCGCACCTGCTAAGCATTAGACTCTGGAAACGGTGCTGTGAAGCTGATTATAGCCCCCAGCACTGGGCCGCTCAGCCCACAGTCAGGTGGTTGCATTGGACCTACAGGTGCGTCTCCCCCAGTGCTGGGAGAGGAGGAGGAGCGAGAAGTCAGGGACCTGGAGAGTTGGAACTGAAGCTATTTCTTCCCGATGCCGGCACACACTGACCTGTTGGAGCAAGTTTGGGGAATTGTCCATGCCTCCTAACTGAAATGCTGTTGCCTCCCCAGGTGAGGGACTACACCTCCAAGAAGGCCCTCCCGGAGGAAGCCCCTGCCCGGAAACTGCTGGACAGAGGTGGGGAGGGGCTGCGGAGCTCCCAGCACCAATGGCAGTTCAACCTGCTGACCCATGTGGAATCGCTTCAGGATGAAGTTACGCACAGGATGGACTCCATCGAGAAGGAGCTGGATGGTAGGCACCTTCCCCGCCCCAGCACGATGGCAGCACTGGGCGCCCGCTGAGAGTTTGCTTTGCACACCTCCCTCCCCAGCAGTGACTGGGAGTAGCCCCTGAACGATGTCCCCCAAAACCTAAAACCAAAACATCCTTGCCCACACTCTGCTCTCTCCTGTACCTGCCTCTGTCAGCTGTCTCAGAGCCTGTTAATAATGGCCATCAGAGAATTTTTTTCGCAGGGAGGGGTGACTGACAGTATCTCTCTCCTCGTGCTCTCTGTTGGAACTGACCTTGGCCTTCTCTCCATTTGTTCGCCCCCGGTGCCTTCTTCTAAAGAATTTAATTTTGGTTTTTTTTTGTTTGTTTGTTTTGTTTTGCCTTTTTTGGGTCACACCCGGTGATGCACAGGAGTTACTCCTGGCTCATGCACTCAGGAATTGCTCCTGGCGGTGCTCAGGGGACTATATGGGATGCTAGGAATCAAACCCGGATCGGCTGTGTACAAGGCAGACATCCTACCTCTGTGCTATCTCTCCAGCCCCTATGAAGACCTTTAAAAACAGATGATCTCATGTCCCTTGCAATTCTTGATTTTCTTAACAGCAGGCTTTCTGCTTTCCACATAGGAAAGCCTTGTGAAGTTGAACAGGAGCACAGAGAAAGGTGCTCCGTTCGACCTTTCTAAGCCCTGGAGCTCTCAGTAGTCACTCGCTAGCTGTGCATGACTGAATAGAATTTAAGTTCACTTCCTCTATTGCACTACCTGCATTTCAAGTGCTATATGCTCAGTGGCTGCTGTTGTTGCAGAAAGTCCTGCTGGACTCTGCTTCTTGGAAGTGGATGGGCAGGCTTTGTGCTCGGAGGCGCGATGAGAGGGTGGGGAGTTGAGATCGCCTGAAACGGTCATCCCGGTTCAGGAGCCAGGTGGGTGAGTGGCGGGAACTCTCTTGGTGGTCTTGCAAGTGTTGCGACTCACCAGGTTTCTCTCTCCTGCCTAGTGTTGGAGAGCTGGCTGGACTACACCGGGGAGCTGGAACCCCCAGAGCCCCTGGCTCGGCTGCCACAGCTCAAGCATTGCATCAAGCAGCTGCTGACGGACCTGGGCAAGGTGCAGCAGATTGCACTCTGCTGCTCAACATGAGACGCGCCCCCCTCAGATTCCCCCACCCCCGTGCTGGTGGGGGGCACAATCCTGGAGCACCTGCAGGAGGAGCTTCACATATTTAAATAAAACCTAGCATGCCGAATGCACGAGACACCAACTGACTTCAGAGATCTGGGCAGGGGATGAGTTGGACGTTGGACAGAGAGGCCGCTGGCTGCCGGACAGGCGAGCACTCTGATCGCAAAGCCAACCCCGAAGGCCGCAGAGAGACTGGTAGGACCCTCCTCTTCTGCACACACCCCTGAATGGAGAGTGGATCTTTTTGCACAGACTTCACTTGAAATCGTGCCACTGATGACAAATGGAATGAGAGCCAAAAAATGTCGTTGGAAGCAGTCATGGGTTCAGCTTGCAGATTATTTCATGGACCTGCCTGTCCATGGTGGAGCACACACCAAGTCTTTGGTTTCTACCTGGTGTGGGTTTGGCAGCAAGCACCCGTTCCTCTCGCCAGCCCGCGGGCAGCCTGCGGCTTCATTCTCCGCGGGCCACCCTGTCTTCTCCGGAGGATTCCTTCACTTTGCATGTCATGGTACTGGGGATAAGGTCTCTAGGCTTTCAACCCAGAATTGGCTGGGTTTTTGGTTTTGTTTTTTCGGGTTTTTTTTTTTCTTTTTTTGGTAGTCAAGCCCTTGCCACCTGTGGAGGGACGAGAATTTCACTGTACCAAGCATCTAGGAGGAATTCCTAACTGAGGCAGGCAGGGTCTGGTACCCGAAGACACATTTTCTACCCACCCTGTGACAGTCTCCTGGTTCTATTTAATGTCCAAAAATGGTTTCCCAAATTTTTGAACTCTTTCACTGTAAAGATTTGTTATAAGAATGTGGTTTGGGGAATTACCTTATTTTATATTGTAAACCAGATTATACGTGTACCGCTTCCTCCTTCCCCGAAGGCTGTGTATGTTCAGTAGTTGCATTTTCAGAATGGTTTAACTGTCCTTTAACATCTTAAATTGTCCTATTTGTATTATTTTGTGAGAACAAGGTGATTATGCTGCTTAATGTCAAGGTATAACCTCTTTGTACCTTTTGAGACAATATTTGCTACTCTTGCAGGTTTTACTGTTCGTGTGTAATTGCTATATTGTTTTTTACCTTACTAGGCGGAGTCCAAGAAAATGTCCTATACTTTGAGGCGTGACCTGTTTCATCATTTAGTATTCCTACCATTAAAGGCAAAAATCAAAGCACAGTTGTCCATTAACACTTACAGTGGGTTTATAGATCTGTAATATTATAAGTTGCAAATATTTACTATGTAAACGTCAAGTAGTTAATAGCCCAGTAGTGATGACAGGAACTCCAGAAACCTTTGGAATGAATGGTGAGGCTTTAAGGCTCAGGTCAGTGTGGTCAAGACGTCTCTACCAAGATCTGTTTCAGGGAATGTTCTGTCTAGTGATTTGTTCACCATTTGATACACTATGAATTTAGGACGTTATCCTGCTGTAGCTTATCCAAAGGGACTCCATGTGGCTGTAACATGTGATGAAGCTGTCACAATTCCTCTACAAAAGGCTGTTTCCTGTTGCTAACAGAGGTGTTTCTGGTGTCGGAAGAAACCCTTAAGGAGTGTGGCATCTATACTTGGTATTAATCAGCAGACAGCCACATTAAAAAAATTGTGACACTTGTTTGAAAAGCAGAGAAAATGGGATGGTTTTCTCTAGCCACAACTATGAGGTGTGATAACTGTTGTAATATAGATTGTTATAGATTATCAATTTTTTCTGTTCTGAAAATACATTTGAATAACACATCTTGGGAAGTCAAACCTGTCAAACCTCTTTTTTTTGGCGGTGTTGGAGATGGAACCCAGCGTCTCACACATGCAAAATGCGTGCTCTACCAGTGAGCTACATCCCCTGCCCCTGGAAGCTATAACTTTAAGATTTTCACTTTATCCCCCGCTCTGGAAGCTGTAACTTTAAGATTTTTCACTTTTATGTCTTTTTCCAAGATGGAAGCAGAAGTGCTTTGCCAAGTGGCCATCATTGGATTTATTGTTTAAGTTTTGTAAAGGAAATAATCCCATTTCACTCATTGGGACTTCTGTCCTTAGGGAAACAGGGAAGACTTCAAGTTCTGATAACCTCAATGTGCTTGCCTAATTTAAAGCCATGTTGAGGGGCTCCATCCCCAATTCCTAGGTCAAGTTGAATTAATCCCAAGTTGGAGCACTGGAAAACTGTTATTTGAATATTACTGTTACCCTTTAGAAATATGTACACTACCTAAGTTTTCTTTTGAGAAAAACTATCCCTCTATAAAACATTGCCTTGACAAAAAGTTTTGGTTTGAGTCATCATTGTAAGTGATGGTGGGCCTTTGCTGAGTCAGCACTGTGGATATGTATCTGTTTACGCATCATTAGGACAGGACAGAAGCGCTACATAGAGAAATGTTGCTTTGGAGCAATATTTGCTAAAATGCAAACTTCTGTATTTGGAAAAAATAAAACAGGGTTTTATTGCTAAGTTTTTGAGCATGCATTACTTACTTTTCCATAAATATTGTCTTCTAAAGAAGCCTTTAATGCTTTTAGTAGCCAAAGGTTCCCAGATTTATTTTGCCTATCATCCTCTTTCCAGGAAAAAGGAAGAAGCCTCAGTTGCACTTAAGGTCTCATGAAACTACTATCACCACCCCCGCTCAGCCGATGCTGTGTCTCCTGAGGGGTTGAGAGGAGAAGGGGGGCCATATGCTCACTTTGGTAAACACTGGTCCTGGTCTTAGTATTTATCTCCTGAAGAGAGGCAGATGCAAACTCAAAGATTCTAAATCCAGGTTGACGCTGTTTTGCCAGGCCCAGCTTCATTCTCCGAGCACCACTGAAGTGAGCAGTTCCTCCCCTGCCACCTCCCACAGTGAGCTACATGTGGACTCCCAAAAGATACCAAATTCTCTTTTTTTTTTTGCTTTTTGGGTCACACCTGGCTATGCACAGGGGTTACTCCCGGCTCTTCAGAAATTATTCCTGGCGATGCTTGGGGGACCACAAAGGGTACCGGGGATCAAACCCCGGTCAGTCGCGTGCAACGCAAATGTCTTACCTTCTATACTATCGTTCTGGCTCCACTTTTTTTTTTTTTTTTTTGGAATGGGGCCACACTGGGCAGTGCTCATGGGTATTTCTTGGTGGGCTCTGTGGACCATATCAGGTGCCAGGGATTGAGCCCAGGTCAACCGTGTTGTGGTAAGCATCTTACTCACTGTACTCTCCCTCCAGCCCCTAAAAAAGGATACTGAATTCTAAGGAAGTGTGCAATACTTTAAACTCATTTTATTATCTTTAATAAAGCTGACAAAGTTTTAGTTTTACTTTAATAAAGCAAGGTGCCTCATACCAGTCTCTAACCCAGGCTGGCTCATTCCCTGTGGTAAGAGCTTATTTGCTGCATTGTTAAACCAAGTGCAAGGAAGGAGGTTTCTCCTTTATATAAAGGAGATGGCACTCACTGCTGTCAGGGACCTCTGATTCAGCAAGTAATACTTCGGGCAGAATTTTCCTCTAAAGAGGTTACGATTAAGGCCTTATCTTGGCTGACCCCAGTTCCATCCCTGGCAAAACATGGTTCCACAAAGAGACCCTGAACAAAAAGCCAAGAGTAGCTCCAGAGCACTGCCAGGTGTGCCTGCAGCACTTGCCTGGCAAGTGATTGATCCAGGTTTGATCCCTGACATCCCATATGGTCCCCCGAGCACTGCCAGAGGTAATTCCTGATTGCAGAGGGAGGAGTAATTCCTGAGCATGGCCAGGTGTAGCCCAAAAACAAACACAAAAATCAAATACAAAAATTAAGGGAAGGCTGGGAGATGTTCAAATACACAAGGTGAGGGTTGGATCCGTTTCTGCTGAGTAGGTCCTCTGACCTTCCAAGCCAGGATTAGCCCCGGAGCACTGTAAAGAGTGACAAAAAAAAAAAAAAAACATGGTTTGGGCCACACCAGGCAATGCTCAGGGGTCACTCCTGGCATGGCTTGGAGGATCATATGGGGTAATAGGGATTGAACGCAGTACTCTCCAGTCCCAAATATATATGTAGCACCGTAGAACTGCTCCCATCGTTTGTCGATTTGCTCGAGCGGGCACCAGTAACGTCTCCATTGTGAGACTTCGTTACTGTTTTTGGCATATCGAGTAAGCCATGGGGAGCTTGTGGGCAGGATACTCTCAGTAGCTTGCCAGGCTGAGAGGGACGGAGGGATCGAACCTCAGGCGGCTCTGTGCAAGGCAAATGCCCTACCCACTGTGCTATCGCTCCAGCCCACATATATATATATATATATATACCCATCATGCATACACACATATATATGAGGGAAGGCATGTGAGAATAAAGTAAGTATCTTCTATGGCCCCCTGAGCCCATCGGGAGTTATCCCTGAGCTCAGAGACAAGATTCAAGTCCTGAACACCACTGGGTATGACTCAAAGGCCAAAAAAATAAGTAGCTCCAGCAACGTAAGTGATCAATTTCTTTACACCCATTCTACTTAAATCCTTCTAGTGGCCTAACATAGCAGGGAGGTGAGTCTTGAAAAAAAAACAAGCAATTCATAAGCAACTGTCCAAATAAAGGACCTGCATTAAACATGTCTGACTAAAGCTTTCTCCATGGACCTTTCGGGTGCTGCGTCCAGCGACGGGCTGCTGTAGCAGAGGGCAGTCAAGTCCAAGAACCGGCTCTTTGCCTGCTCCAACCACCCACCCCAGCCAGACTTCTGTCTCTCCGGGCAGAACAAAGAGCTTCTGCTGAGAGGGAGGTCGGAGTAAATTTAAAAGCAAGGCTACTGGGACCCTCAGGTACCCACGGTCCGGCTACACAAAGGAAATCGGGTCCCAGGGGGCGAGGAGGAGAAACAGTGCCCGGAAGTGGCGGCGTCACAGGCCCAGCCAACACCGAATCCCACAGAAGCCAACGAAAGCCAAGCGCATAGGAAACAGGTTTGTTTGTTTAATTCTCATCCACTCCGAACCGTTTCGCCATCGGGCCGGAAAGCGCAACTAGAAACGGGCTCGGGCAATAAGTGGGGCGAGGACAGTCACGGGTCTGCGGCAGGGGCACGGCGCCGCGCGGGAGGTGCCCCCAACTCAGCGTCCCCCGGTCCCCGCGGCGCGACCCCCGCGCCGGAGGCTGCAGCTCGCCGGCCCCGCCGCTCAGCCGGTGATGCGCACGTCGGTGCGGCGACGCGGCCGCCGGGCCCGCGCCGCCTCGGGCAGGATGGCGAGCAGCTGCTCCTGCACCAGCATCTCCACGATCTGCTCCTTGGTGCGGATGTCGGGCCGCAGCCACTGGCGGGAGAGCTCCCGCAGCTGCCGGAACGCCTCCCGCGGCCCCGCCGCGTCCTGGTAGCGGAACTGGCGGAAGCGCTGGCGGAACGTCTCGGGCCCGAGGCGGGAGGCGGCGGGGCTCTGCGGCCTCTGCGGGCTCGGCTGGGGGCTCGGCGCGGCCCCGACGGCTGCGGCTGCGGCCGCGGCGGGAGGCGTCGGGACGGCTTCGGGCGGCGCGGCGCTGGGGCTGGGCGGCTCGGGGGCGGCCGGCGCGCCCTCAGGGTCCCGTTCCGGGCGTGGGCCGGGCCCGGCGGCGCCTTCCGGGGCCCGGGGCGGCGGCGAAGGCGGCGGCGACGGGGGGCTGCCGGGGGTCGTTGCCATGACTCCGACTCCCACCGCCACTCTTTGTGCACGGGCTGCCGACTCGGCGCTGCGTCAGCCCCGGGCCGGGCTGCGGCGGGAGCTGACGCGGGAAGGCGCAGTCGCGCGACCCCGACGGATGGACGCGGAGCGGGAGCGGCCCGAGCTGCGGCCGAGCTTCCGCGCAGCGCCCCGGCCGGCCGGAAGCGGAAGTCGGCACGGCTCCCGCAAGGACCGCCCGGAGCTCGCGGCCTCGGAATCGCGGTCCGGGCGGGTGTTCCGGCGACCGCGGTCCGGGGGGCGGGATTCCAGGCCCGGGTCCCTGGGGCCGGAGTTGCGGCCGGCCCAGCTCCGCCGGCAGACGTCCAGGACTTTTCTAACAGTCCCGGAATCCACCGAAGGGGTCGGGGAGCAGGAGCCGAAGTCCTGGCTGCTTCGCCGGAGGCATCCCGCGACCCCGTCTGTGCAGAAGAGTGTGCGGGATCGTGATCGTTCTCCAGCCCCTGGACTCCTCAAGTTCCAGAAGATTATGCACGACTGGGCCAAGAAGGAATCCGTAGGGGCCTTTTTCCCTTTTCCTTTTTTTTCCCCCTTTTGTTCACGAGCGGGGCATCGAACTCTGGGTCTCCCTCTTGCAGTTGGTGTTGCACATCCTGAACCAGATCCGCGCCCCTCGAGGGGGTCCTTAGCAGCCCCGGCGAGCTTCAATGGGAATGAGGATGAGGGCGAGCGAGGGGTCGCGGGGCCTCGGGGGCCCAGTGTGGAGGGAGCAGGACTTGGCAAGTCCTCGCCTTCGTCCAAAAGCGAGACCAACAGTGCTGTTAAGAGACCCGTGAGGAAAACTTTGCCCAAGCCTCTATCACGATCACTGTTGGTCTGTCCTTTGGAATCAAGGACCCAGTGACTGTGTGTGTTTGAAGCGGCCAACAATCAGTTTTATTTATTTATTTTGCTTTTTGGGTCACACCCGGTGATGCACAGGGGTTACTCTTGGCTTTGCACTCAGGAATTACTCCTGGCGGTGCTTGGGGGACCATATGGGATGCTGGGAATCGAACCGGGTCGGCCGCGTGCAAGGCAAATGCCCTACCCGCTGTACTGTACTATCGCTCCAGCCCCAACGATCAGTTTTAGACAAGGAAACTGCCCTTGCTCCAAAGGCTAAGGACATCCTAAAGACACCTTCCCGCAAAAGCCCGACCATGACTGCATTGTTTAGGTTTGCAGATAGATAGCTGGATAGACAGGGCGTCCATCAGGGAACCAGCCCAGAAGGAATTTTATTCTTTCTGGCGTCCACTAGTTTATAATCCACCTTTTCTTTCCCTTGGAACCACTCCCCACCCCACCCCCGAAGTCCCCACCTCTCCCACACCTCTACCACCAACACCACCAACGCCCAGACCCCGCCCCGCCCCGCCCCTGTCTATGATCTAAGCAAGACAGTGCTTTTGAGGACCAGACTTCGTCATCTTTTAGCACTAAAGGCACGCCCAGGGTGACCATGAGCCATTAGATTGATTGCAGACATGCTCTACTGTATCTTCATATTTTATGTTGGAATGATATTTCACATCTGTTGTTTCAAACAGAATGGAACTTCATTCAGTAGTGCTTTTTCATTATTTGTTGTTCCGCTTGTGTGAGGGCTCCTAGCTCCCAGCTGCAGCCCACTGAGCTCAGGCTCCAGCCTGCTTGTTACTTTTTAAGTGAGTAGCACCAAAAGCAAACCACTTTTGTGTGAGGTATGTTATACTTCTGTCTGCAGCTCTGCCATCTATTGGAAGTGGTGCTTTGGTGGAATCCACACGCAAGGTTTCATCCGAATAGCCCTGAGTTATCCAGAAGATTAAGCAAAGCCCATGGAAAGAAAAGTTCCTTTTATTTTTAAACAAAAGTCACTGTCACTGTCCTCCCGTTGTTCATCGATTTGCTCCAGTGGGCACCAGTAACATCTCACAACAAATTGTGAGACTTGTTACTGTTTTTGGCATGTCAAATACGTCACGGGTAGCTTGCCAGGCTTTGCCGTGCAGGAGATGCTCTCAGTAGCTTGCTGGGCTCTCCGAGAGGGTTGGAGGAATCAAACCCGGGTCTGCCACGTGCAACGCAAACACCCTACCTCCTGTGCTATCGCTAAACAATATTAAAAGTTTGAATTTATGTCATACATATGGGGACAAAGTGTGTCTGCCCTCCACTAGAGTCCGTATGGTATGGTGCTAGTTAGTGGTATTAAAATAGCACTTTGTCGAACCTGCTTTGTCTACAGCAGATAGGGTGCTTGCCTTGCATGTGACTGCCCCTTGTTTGATCCCAATCCCTGGCACCCCATATTTTCCCCTAAGCTCTCCCAGGAATGATACCTGAGCACAGAGGCAGGAGTAAGCATTGCGGGGTGTGGCCCCCAAACCAAAAAGTAAATAAAAAGCATATTGTGCTCACTGGGTAATTGTTTGCTATCTGACTCCATTTTTCTAATCTCCTAGATATTTGTTTAATAGAACTTAGCTCAAAGAATTCTGTTATGAGAAAAACAGGTCAAAGCATGTTAAAGCATGTCACTGCCAACACTTTGGTTAATGACCTTATTGCTCCACAGCTGACTCAGACATGGCTTTTGTATCGCCACCTTTGAGAAAAGGAAACTAATGCCCAGAGAGATGCCCCCACCTGGTGCCTTTGTGTGTATCACCATTGTGGTTTCGTTGAGCTCAACCCACTGAATAATCACCAGAACTTGGCCCTTGTAATTAACCTTGCCTCTTAATAGACATGTTCCTGAAAGGATGTGATTGGGTTCTCATAGAACAATTTCTGCAGCCGAGGCCAGAGATGGCTCAATGGGCTTCAGTCATGCATTGCATGTGGGGAGCCCCTGCACTGGGAGTGACCCCTGAACATCACTAGGTGTGACCTCAGTAAAACCACCAACACCCAAAAGACCAAATTCCTCAGCTTGAAAATTAAAAGGCAGAACAAAAATAAAATCTTTTTTTTTTCTTTTTGGGTCACACCCAGCGATTCTCAGGGGTTACTCCTGGCTTTGCACTCAGGAATTACTCCTGGCGGGGGACCACATGGATGCTGGGAATTGAACCCGGGTTGGCCGTGTACAAGGTAAACGTCCTACCCGCTGTACTATTGATTCATTCCCGCAAAAAATCATTTTTAATGTCTGTAAATTGCACATGGAAATTGTGAGATTTCACACGCAGATCTGGGATTTCAGCTTTCTTGAAAGAGTGGAAAAGTTGGTTGCACGGGGCCCACTCATATTTCTACAAGTTTACAGTCAGCTGGAACTGAGCCACACCATCTTCGGGTACACCCCACACTCTGTCCTAGTTGGCCTCAGTCCCTACCACCCCCTAAAACACAATCTGTTTGCATTTACTATTGCTGGGGGTGGTTCTTTGCTTCAAGCTAATATTTTTTCTTGTAAGAGAAGAGAGAAAACAAGGGTAGAGGGAGTGGTGTACTAGAGTTTGTTATTCCTGCTAACTTAAAATTTGGATTTCCTCTGCTTGGCCTTCTGGCCGAGTTAAGTTTGCTTCCTTGAGTGAAGCATGTGGCAACAGGCCGTCAGCATCCCAGACTCACCCCCAAATCAGGTGTAAGAACAAGGCCGCGTGGAAAGCCGCAAGGAAGAGGAGCTCTTGTTTTTTCTGGGGGATCAAACAGGGGTCAACCACATATAAGGCCAGCTCCTAGCCCCTGCATTGTCTTTTCAGCTCTTTCATTGTTTCTGCTCGGCTTCTGGGCCACACCTGAAAGTGCTTGCTCCACATGGTGCTCAGAGAACCAGACCAATGAGGCGCTAGGGATGGAACCAGTCCTGCATGCAAAGCAAAGCATATTTCCTAAATTAAAATATTCCCTAAAAATAGATAAATCAGGGAATGGTTAAGACCTCAGGCCTGGAGGCCAGAGCGATAGTACATTGGGTAGGGCATTTGCCTTGCACGCGACTGATCCCGGTTCTATCCCTGACATCTCATGTGATCCCGCAAGCACCACGAGGAAGGATTCCTGAGTGCAAAGCCAGGAGTGACCCCTAAGCATCGCTGGATGTGACCCAAAAAACCAATACCAAATAAACAGAAGTCCAGGGGTTGAGTGATAATACAGTGGATAGGGTGTTTGCCTTGCACATGGTTGACCCACATTAGATCCCTGGCATCCCATATGGTCCTACGAACACTGCCAGCAATATTTCCTGAATGCAGAGCCAGGAGTAAGCCCTAAGCATCGTTAGGTATGACCCAAAAAGCCAAAAAATAAAAGACTCCAGATTATTATTACCATCCCTGTTAGTATTTGGATTAATAGAAGTGGCAGGAGAAATATTAGAACTCTTTTAGTATTGAGAAATGGTAGGATGGAGACCTTGCAGATTAAATCTGTTCAGTGATTCAGTTTTTCTAGCCCCTCCCCCATTTTTGGTGGTGGTGGGGGAATTGTTTGCTTTGGGGCCATACCCAGTGATTCTTAGCAGTTACTCCTGACTCTGTGCTCAGGAATTACTCCTGCCAGGGATCGAATTGAACCTGGGCTGGCCAAGTGCAATGCAAATGCCCTATCTGCTGTACTATTGCTTTGGCCCCTCCAGATTAACTTTTTGTTGTTGTTTTTGATTTGAACCACACCCACCAATGTTCAGGGGTTACTCAGGAATTACTCTTGATGGTGCTCAGAGGGCCATATCAGATTCTGGGATCAAACCCAGGTCTGCAGCATGCAAGACAAACATCCTACCCTCTGTTCCATCCATCCCCTCTTACTACCCAGTTCCTAGTGTGTGTTAACTTTACACTAAACCTATGAATTATTCTAACCTCCAGACTTTTTTTGAGGGTCATACCTGGCAACACTCAGGGGTAACTTCTGACTCTGCAATCAGGAATCACTCCTGGCTGTGCTTGGGGAGTCACGGGGATCCCTGGTGATCCAACCCGGGTTAGCCATGTGCAAGGCCAGTGCCCTACCTGCTGTAGTATTTTTCCAGCCCCTCCACACTTTTGTTTGTTTTTTTCCCATTTGTAATAAGGCATTTATTTTTGTTAAACTCCAGACTCTTAACTAAGCTTAGCAGAATCTGAAGAGAATAGGGATATACTTGTAAATGTGTTACTTCCAGACAGCCTTGAACCCACCCAGAAATGACAGGAATGGCAGGTAAAGTTTAAGATAGAGGTGGGGGAGGGCACAGCAAAGCTGTTGGTGCTGGGAGCTAGTCCAAACTCTGTGCTGGGGATGAGGGTGCTGGCGGTGCTTCCATGGTGTTTAGGGGACCGTGTGCTGGTGGATGTCGAACTGGGGTCACCTGCATACAAAGTAGGTGAATTAACTCCAGTGCTATCTCTCCAAGCCCAAGATGTATTTTTTTTTGTTTTTGTTTTTTGGGTCACACCTGGCAATGCACAGGGATTATTCCTGGCTCTGCCCTCAGGAATTACTCCTGGCAGCGCTCAGGGGACCATATGGGATGCCGGGAATTGAACTCACGTCGGCAGTGTGCAAGGCAAACGCCCTTCCCACTGTGCTATTGCTCCAGCCCCAAGATGTATTTTTTTTAAATATGTATTCTGTTCTGAATTTTGCAGGATAGAAAATCAAAATTCCAAGAGACAAAGGAATTTGCCAGAGACAATTTTTTGGTAAGTAGTTTTAGGAGGACAAAATTCTTTAACTTCCAGACCAGTGTTTTGGTTTTTGTTTTGTTTTGTTTTGTTTTTTGCTTTTTGGGATACACCCGGCGATGGGCAGGGGTTATTCCTGGCTTTGCATTCAGGAATGACTCCTGGTGGTCCTCGGGATCATATGGGATGCCGGGGATTGGACCCAGGTTGACTGTATGCAAGGAAAATGCCCTCTCCACTGTGCTATCACTCCAGCTCTCAGACCAGTGTTCTTATCTTACCTGCAGAGAAGCAAAACTTGCCAGCCCCCAAACATGTATGTCTCCATACACATGTGGACTGTTTCATAGGCCAGACTCTGAGAGCTGGGTTTCCGATGGTGTCCTTTAGGAATTATTTACATGTAGAAAGAAATATTTATTTGTAAGACTATATCCCTGGAGGTGCCTGAAGATCCCACCTGTCAGTGGTAAAACAGCATTTTATTTCGAATTTTATTATTTATTTAATTTGATTTTGAGGCCACACCTGACAGTACTTAGGGCTTACTCCTGGCTCTGTGCTCAGAGATCATTCAGGGGCTCAGGGGACCATATGAGGTACTGGGGATCAAACCCGAGTCAGCTGCATGCAAGGCAAACGCCCTGCCTGCTGTACTATTGCTCACGCCCCAAGACAGCATTTTTTTGGTGGGAGTGGGGCACACCTAGCGATGTTCAGAGGTTCCTCCTGGCTCTGAACTCAGCAGTTACTCCTGGCGGTATTTGTGGGACCATAAAAAATGCTGGGGCTCGAACCTGGGTCGGTTCATGCAAAGCAAATGCCCTACGTGCTGTGTGTGAGGTGTGGTGTGAAGGATTACGTACGACTGTTTCTTCAGCCCCCCTAGAAAGCATTTAAAAAATATATATAATAATCTTAACCAGGCAGCAACTTAAAAATCTTCATGATATGAGCTGGAGTACAGCAGGTAGGGTGCTTGCCTTGCACAGTGACTGACCTGGGTTCAATCCCAGGCATCACCTATGGCCCCCAGAGCACAGCCAGGAGTTATTACTGAGCTGGGACCAAGAGTAACCTCTGGACATTACCAGGTGTGACCCCAAAACAAAACAAAGACCCCTGAGCTTACTAGGAGTGAACCTTGAGTGCAGAGTCAGGAATAAGCCCTGACCACCCCTTGGTATTTTGTTTTAGGGCCACACCCAGCAAGGCTCAGGGTTACTCCTGGCTCTGTTGTGCTACCACTAGGGCCCCTGCATGACCTTTATACCTTTACAAAACCCTCTCAGGTAATACCCCATCTGACTCTCCCTGCCCTCCCCACCAACATCTTTGGTCTTCAAGTACAATTAATTAAAGGGAGAAATTTAAGCCCATTTGGGGAGTTGCTCAGTTTTGGATTTTTTTTGGATTGTTTTTTGGTTTGGGGGCCACACTTGTCAGTGCTCAGGGTTTGCTCCTGGCTCTGTGCCAGGAGTCACCCCTAGCAGAACTTGGGACCACATGAAGTACCAGGGATCAAACTCCAGTTGGCCATTTGCAAGACAGGCACCTGTCCACTGTAGTCAGTTGCTCGGTTTTTACTGGCCCCTTTCATGTGTAGAGGTATACGTTTTATTATTAAGCCTTTTCTTGTGGTGTCTAATGTGAATTTGGTTATTTGCCAGTCTCCAAGCATCGAGCCTGGAAGAGAAAATGAATCTCCTGTGCGGCAGTATGGTTATTACAAAAAGACAATTACTTTGTCTGGACACATCTTATACCTGAAAGGCCAGCCTGAAAGGAAACTTAGCGCCTTCTATAGAAAACTGACCAAGAAGGTAAAAACATTTACTGTGGGGTCTGGGTGAAGTAAGAGGTACTGGTGAAGCGTTTTCCTCTCTCTACATTTACGTTTGAGATGAAAAAATATGAATAGAGTGAACTCTGGGTATCACTGCTCTTAGTTTTAAATATTCTTGGTTTTGTTTCTTTGGCAGGGAGCAGGGAGGCCTTGGGCTACACCCAGCAGTGCTCAGGGCCTATTTCTGGCTCTATGCTCAGGAATGACCCTGGGCCGGTCACAGGGTATAGTGTGAGAGCGATCGAACCAGGGTCGGCCACGTGCAACTCTGGAGCCTTAAGGCTTACCCCCTGTACTATTTCTCTGGCCCTATTCTTATTTTGTTTGGGGACAACACCAAACAGTCTTTAGATCTTATTGCGTTCAAGCAAGCTCGGGGTACTATATGGGATGCCACGGATTGAATCCAGGTCCACCCTCTCCACTGTACTAACACTCCAGCCCCTGTTCTTTTTTGTTTTTTCCTTTTGGCTTTAGGACCACACCCAGTGGTGGAAGTTCCTGGCAGGGCTCAGAGAAGGTGCCAGGGACTAAACCCAGTTCTGCTGCATATAAGACAAGTCCCCTACTCACTGAACTATCTCTCCAGCCCTGTTTTCTTATTCTCTCTCTCTCTCTCTTTTTTTTTTTTTTTTCGGTGGTGGTGGTGGTGGTGGTGGGGCATACCCAATTGATGCTCAGGGCTGATTCCTGTCTCTGTATTCAGAGATCATGCCTGGCAGTGCTCAGGGTACCATAAGGGACACTAGGGATCAAACCCAGGTTAGCCACATACAAGGTAAGTGCCCTACTCACTATACTTACTATCTCCTAGTTCCTCATTTTCCTATTATGAAGGGGCTTTCTTTCTTTCTTTTCTTTTCTTTTTCTTTTTTTTTTTTTTTTGAGTCACACCCGACAATGCACAGGGGTTACTCCTGGCTCATGCACTCAGGAATTACTCCTAGTGGTGCTCGGGGAACCATATGGGATTCTGGGCATTGAACCTGCGTTGGCTACATGCAAGGAAAATTCCTTACCCCACATAGTACTGTCTCTCCAGTCCTATGCTCAGGGTTTATTCCTGGCTCTGCACTCAGGGAGTACTCATGGTGAGCTCATGGCCATATAGGATACCGGGAATTGAACCCAGGTTAACTGCATGCAAGGCAAGCACCCTACCTGCTCTGCTATTGCTATGGCCTCTAGTATGATCATTCCTGATTGAAGTTTTCTCCTGTTTTCACCTGCCTTGTTTGAATCCTCTTCCAGTTTTCAATATCTGAAGTTCTCATCAGGGAGGTCAGAGAGTGTGTGTTCCTGGGAATATTCCTGGGCTTTTGACTTTGTCCATGAATCCTATTTCTTCACTAGGTCTGATGTGGTATGAAGACGAAGCGTGAAGTTCTGGTTCTGTGCACTGCTGTGTATGGAGGGGATGATGTTCTGAAACAAAAGCAAAAAATCTATTAGCATTGTCATCCTAGAAGAAGCATAGCAACAGCTGGAAAAGAGGGGCTTTACTGAACGAAACGGAGTAAGAAGCCTGGTCTTGAGAAAGAGAGAGAGAGAGACAGAGAGAGAGAGAGGAGGGAGGACATATAATCTAGTAGTGTCAGGAAACTCGTGCATATTCATGAAGGAGAATGTGGAGCATGCGTATTTGAGGAACATACTTGATCACTTGATACCCCATTACTCATTGATTTACTCGAGCGGGTGCCAGTAACATCTCCATTCATCCCTGTTGTGTGCTAGCGTAGCCCAATGGCATCTGCTCATTCTAGGAACATGCAGAGCCTCAAACCGATCATTCAGAGTCTTGACGAAGAAGTCTGACCATCTTGTAGGTGGGCGTCCACGCGATCTTTTGATGTCCCATGAAATCCAGTCAGTAATGGCTCTAGTCCAGTGGTCGTCTCTAAACCTCATTACACGTCCAGCCCATCTGACTTTTGATGCCTTGGCAAATGAGACAGCGTCCCTGATTCTTGAGCATTGACGGAGATCAGAACTCCAGATTCTATCTCTCATTTGAGTGAAGCATGATACTCCAAGCATAGCTCTTTCGATTCCTCTTTGAGAGACCTGAATAGCGTTCTCATTCTGCTTTCATAGGGCCCAGGTCTCTGAGGCATATGTTAATGCAGGAATAACAGTGGAATCGAAGAGATGTGCTCGGAGCTGGAGGTTCTTTGTCCTCTTAGTTATTTCTTCAATGCTCTTGAAGGCATTCCAAGCCGCTCTCTTCCTCCTGCGTAACTCAGGTGCCAGGTCATTTATCATGTTGATTTCTCGACCTAGGTATATATAACTGTTGCATTTGGAGATGGTGGTTCCGTTGAGAGTGAATGGAACATCAAGAACAAGACTGTTTCTCATGAACATTGTCTTTGTGAGATTCAGTTGTAATCCGACCTTTCCACACTCACGGTCGAAGTCAGTTAGCATTTGTGCTGCTTGGCTGATGTTTGGTGTTATTAGAACCATGTCATCAGCAAAGCAGAGGTGGTATAGTTGCCGACCATCTATCTTCACTCCCATTCCTTCCCATTCCAGTCATCGCATGATGTTCTCGAGGGTGGCACTGAAGAGTTTTGGTGAAATGGTATCACCCTGCCGAACCCCTCTCTTGACATGGATGGTTACTTCTTTGTAGAATGGTGAGATCCTGGTAGTGAATCCGTAATAGAGCTCACGGAGGATCCTGATGTATTGAGTTTGTACGCCCTGATTGGCTAGGGCTTTGATGACCGCTTCCGTCTCAACAGAATCCAAGGCCTTCTTTAAATCAATGAACGTTAGACAGAGCGGCATCTTGAACTCCCGAGAAACCTCAATGAGCTTGGTATAGTGTAGATATGGTTGATGGTGCTGAATCCTTTTCGGAACCTGACTTGTTCGCATGGTTGTCCTTCATCTAGTGTTCTGCCAGTTCTATTCAGGATGACTCGAGCGAACAGTTTGTAGATGACAGACAATAGGCAGATTGGGCAGTAGTTGCCAATGTCGTGGATATCTCCCTTCTTGTATAGTAATACAGTCCTGCTGGTTTTCCATTGAGATGGAACCTTGCATTCAGACAGGTAGCGTGTGAAGAGCCGAGCCAGTGTATTGATGAGTACTGACAGTAAGTTCTTCAGGTGTTCAGGTCTGACCTTGTCTGGGCCAGGTGCTCTTTGTATCTTTACCGACGAAATGGCATGTTGGATTTCGAAAGGGAGAACATTGGGAACGACATATCCAGCCTGCGGAATTTGGTATGTGAGCAAGTGGACGTGGCTATTAAAGAGGAACATTACAATAAACATAAACCTCATGTGTACAGAAAATGGTGATGACCTGACATGGGTGTATGATTTTTAGTGTAGAAGCTGGAAGTCAAGAGGGATTCTTTTGTGCAGTCTTCACTGGCCTATAAAGCCCTGCTAGGGCTGGAGTCCTTGTCTGTACAAGTGTTCTTAAAATTCCTCTTTGACTCCTCAGAGCTAATAGAATGCCATGGGGCAGCTTCTCCCAGAGAGAATTGGCATACCCTCCAACTATCTACCTTAGGCTAGTTTGGTTTGGCATTTTCTCTTTTCGGGAGAGCAGGAACATACTCATTGGTGCTCAGGGCTTACTCCTGGCTCTGTGCTCATGAATTATTCCTGGCAGGACTTGAGGGACCATATGCAGTAAGGGTATCGAACCTGGGTTGACCACATTCAAGGTAAGTAGCTCCACAATGTACTATTTGTCTGGCCCCTGTTTTAGCTTTTTCTAATTCCAGAGAGTACTTCTAAATTTTTGGAGTGCTCTGGGGTTTGGTAAAGAGAAGGGATTAAGTTAGACACATGCGCGCGCGCGCACACACACACACACACACACACACACACACACACACACAGAGGGACCAGAACGATACTATAATGGGTCGGGTGCAGGTTTGAACCCTGATGTCCCATATGGTCCCCTGAGTACCACCAGGAGTGATTTCAACTGGACCTTAGAGATCACGCCTTCCTCTTCCTCCTCTGTTGAAAAGTTATTCTAACGACTAATTTCCTGGGACAGGGAACTAAGATAAAAAAGAAAGATTCTAAGACAGAAACTTAAGTAAACTTGGGAGAAAAGTTAAAATAGTCAAGAGATGTACCAGACAATAGAAAAAATGAGGAAAAGAAGACAATCTCTGGTGCTCTCAACCTTCACAAGCCCCTTTCCTTACCCCACACAGCTCCTTCCTCTACCCCGTGTCTCTGAATTTGAACTTGAAGCAAGGGGTAGAGTTAGCGTGAGCCTGGTATGTTGGGAAGGACCTGTGAGATTCCAGCTCACCAGTTCCAGAATATCCAAGCTATGTGTATCTGGGACGGAACATAAAAGGCAAGTGCCTGAACCCGTTGGGCTGTCCCTCTGGTCCTCCCATTATGTATTTAAATACTGTTGGACAACTGTTCCTTGGTTCATTTATCTTTAAAAAGGCATGTACAACGGGGAGGGCATTTGCCTTGCATGTGGCCAACCTGGGTTTGATCCTCGGCATCCCATGTGGTCCCCCAAGCATCACCAGTAGTAATTTCTGGTTATCTGCCCTGAGCCTCGGTGGGTGTGGCCCCCCAAAAATAACAATAATAACAATGACAAGTCTCTTAAGATTTATAACACTTAGATATTCTCATAAGAATAAAAATCTTTTTTTTCTTTTTGTGTCACACCCAGCGATGCACAGGGGTTATTCCTGTCTCTGCACTCAGGAATTACTCCTGGCAGTGCACAGGAGACCATATGGGATGCTGGGAATCGAACCTGGGTGGGCTGCATGCAAGGCAAACGCCCGACCCACTGTGCTATTGCTCCAGCCCAAGAATAAAAATCTTAATGTAAGGTGATGAATGATATTTTGGCAATCACTTCATAGTTGATACATATATAGTAGACCATGTGTGGCACATCTTAAGCTGATTTAAATTTAGTATAGTCTTATACATTAATTACATGTCAATAAATAAGATA